CATACGCACCGAGAGGAGCGTGGGCTTGTTCCTGCTTCACAAACACGCTGCCTAATAATCTTTCTTCTTCCTGCTTCACATCAGGTATACTACATAAACTTCACAGATTTTGCCAGCTATGAGGTGGTGGTGGATGAGAAACCCTTCCTGCAGTGCACTCGGAGTATTGAGACCGGCAAGACCAACTTCAATACCTGCTATACAGCCGGGGTCTGCCTCCTCAAAGCCAGGCAGAAGATCGCTGTGAAAATGGTCCACGCTGACATCTCCATCAACATGAGCAAGCACACAACTTTCTTTGGGGCCATCCGCCTAGGAGATGCGCCAGCATCCTAGATGAACTTGGCACATCCAAGGAGACTCACAGAACTGCACCGTGCTGCTGTTCATAAGCGTATCAGTATTTCAGGGGGTTCTGTAATCCGGCCATAAGGAAAGCTGATCCAGAGCTATTTATTCCTATATGTGAATGCAGGAAGCACAATGTCTTCTGTGACTTGCACGGAGACTCGGATCAAAAAGCTAGCTGAAAAAGCGTGGTGAGGAAGGAAGGCTGTTGTGTCCGCCTTGTCTCAGTATTTCAAGTATTACTGCACTGATATTCTGCTCTGTGATCTTCACGTGGGGCTTGTTGGGAGTGACGTGGCTCTCTGCTTTTATGTTGCACTAAGCACGAGCATCATCCCAGGCAGGAGCAGGAGAGAGCCCAGCCAGGCGGCCCTACCTGGCGCTCCTGCTTCTGCCCGCTGATGAGAGCAAGGATTGGGGTTTCTGCTTTCCTGCCTTCTCAGTTCTAACTGGAGCGGCGTGCGGAGCGAGAGGAGGTGGGTGAGAGTCAGTGGTGTTTACATTCATCCTCAGGAGTGGAGAAAGGAGAGCAAAGTGCCTCAGGCAGAGCTGGGAAGCAGGCGGTGAGAGCGCTGCGGTGGAGGGGAAGGTGGATGCTGACTAGAGCAGGCTTAGCACACGGAGAACCGCCTCTGCATTCCAGAAATCACAAAGTCCCAAAGAAAAAGACAATCCTGGTTCCAGAGCCTCTGCTACTTCCAGCTCCTGCCGTTACCCCGGAGCTGTGCGCTGCCCACCGGGGGCTGCCGTCACCCACTGCTGCTGTCACAGCTGCCGGTGGTTTTTGTTTGGGGGTCGGGCTTTTTTAATGTGTGTCTTTTTAATTAATATTTTGCAAACCAGAACACTTTTCTACTGGCTTCCCAGAGGCACGCAGAGCAGACACAAGTACTTGTGAGAACACTCTGAAGAAGTTTGTCATGTTTAAGAATAAAATATTCCAACAGGAAATTATTTTTTCTGTTTTAATAGCAGCTGCCCTGCTCTCAGATGTGGTTTTCATCCTTCCTCCCCACACCCCGTCCCTGTTGGCACCCTCCTACCTAAATTGCTCCAATGAGCAGCGATGGAGTCTCTAGCAAAAATGTGTATTTAAAAAGCCTGGTCTAGCATGAAGTCACCGCTTTTCTTTGCTCTGAGCCCTGCTGGGTCTAGTCCTAACTCGATTTCTGGTGACTAATAGCGGAGCGAGGACGCTATTGTTTCTTTTGGCTTCTTGAGCAACTCTCTCCCGTCACCTCCCCACGACTGGTGCTGAGATCTGAAGCTGGAAGTTGTGCTGGAGCTGAGGAGGAGGCCGGAGCACGAATTGCCCCTGGTGCTCGGTGGTGCGCGCCTGCTCGTGTCCTTGGGTAAGCAGCCTTCGCTAAGGGAGGGCAGTGCGATTGCAGCCCCTGTGGCAAACACAAACGGCTGCGTGGGGAGCCGAGGTCCGGGTGACAGCCAGGGCTGCCCCAGCTGTGCTCACCTGCAGTGTAAGCCAGCACTGCTGTGCCCCTGCAGGCTCTGCCTGCCCGCAGTGCTCCCGGCTCCGCTGCTCTGTGCGGCCGTAGCGAGTGATCTCACTTGCCAAGTATTGCAGTTATTGGGAGATAAATATTTCTTGGGGGCACCCGGCTTTGGCTTCAGCCTTGCTATTCACAGGAGGCGTGCAGTTTATAAAATAACTGCATGAAAAATTGCCTGCTATTTCTTTTTCAATATGTTCTCCTCCTTTCTAGCCTTAATATGTTGGGCTAGCGAGAGCCTGAGGGGCACTGAAGCAGCCTTTGTTGTTTATTTCCTTTAAAATCAATTAAGAAGGAGATGTTCCTCTGACAAGAATGAATCGGGACAGCTTCTTATAGTGAGAACATGAAGCAAATCATTAACAGGATTGCTTTAGAATACAGTCTGAGCAGCGAGGCTTAGGGGCAAGCATAAATAACACGATGGCTTGGGAGAGCGCGATGGATGTCACTGGCATTCCTCATCCCCCGCTGGCAGGAGCTGTGGTTCACTTCTGAATGTGCCTGTGAGCAGCAGGAGGCAAAGGGAGAATCCCTTTTGCTGTGAGCACCCCGGCACTGCTGCCACAATCCCTTGGCATGCATGCAGGAGCAGGGCAGGAGGTGCTGCTGGCTGCAGGTGGCCGTCCTTCCTCGCTGCTCCACGCCTGGCAGCTGTGGAGTCCTTTGTATTTAAACCCTGTGGCTGCTGCAGCAGCACGTTCTCACGGACGCAGTACTGTGGCACAGTTACCCAGGCTGTGGTATAGCTGCTTCTGTTTGATACTGCTCTGTGCCACCGCCTCTGGGGCCTCTGCACGTTTCCGTCATTGGAGCCAAAGGGCCTGGAAGCAGCTCAGGACAGCTGGAGGGGGTTCATTGGTGTGGAAGATTGTAAGCTTCGCTGCATCCTTCCCTCTGGTGTCTCTCCTGAAGAACTCCCAGCAGTCCTTCAGTTCGCCCTCACCCACGTGCCTCAGCTCTGCTGCTCAGCCTTCGGCTGGACTCCAGTTGCAGAAATGCAGCAAGCAGCCGATTGGTATCTAACTCAGCATCTGAAATCCTTCTCCTGAAGATCCCCAGTACAGAGAGCCCGTATGGAAGCCAGCTCTGCTTCTGTGTTCGGGGTGCCTTTGTAGGAGGGATGCTCCCCAGCACACCCTTCAGCTCATGGCTCTGCACCCACACGTGCTGGCTGTGCTTCCTCCAGCACCTTCCTCACCCAGGGTGGGGGCTGAGGGGCTCCTGCCATCACCAGCAGCCCATCAGTGCTGCAGCACTGTCCTCTTAGCATTGAGCGTTTTGTATTTCCCAGGCTGAGAGGTACAGGGCAGGTGTTTCCCGGGGCTGCTCTCAGGTGAGCTCTTTCCATAGCCCAACGAAATCCAGACGTGCTGTCCCAGCTCAGAGCATGGGAGCAGGAAGGCACCGGTCCCAGCACTCAGCACTGCAGGCTGAGCCCCTCCAGATGGGGTTTGTCCCATTTCTTGGGCTCTCCCCTGCCCAGGCACAGCTGTGTGTGGGTGCTGCACCCTCTGGCCTGGCCCCACGCATTGCCCACCCTCATGGCTTCCAGGGGTGGAAGGAAGCCCCTCCTCACCCCCCAACCAAAAAGGAATGGGAGAGGAGCTGTGGGAAAAGATGCCCAACTCCACTCCCGTTTATCTGAGCTGCACAGAGATATTCCAATGCTGTTTTGTGCTTCAACATCTTTATTCAAGACACTATCTGTATATAAAATATACATAATGTATATAAATTAGGATGTAAGTTTATGTAAATTGTCAATATTTTCTTTGCAAATAAAGCTTTTTCCTGATCTCTGGGCGTCCCTGGATATCAGCTGGTTGCTGGGCACGGAGGGGCTGGGCCCTGTGGTGTGGCAGCCCCAGCTCAGACAGGAGCGGGGCAGGCTGTGCCCTAGAGCAGTGCCCCAAAAGAGAGGGGATGGGACATGGGGAGTTCACAGGCGTAGGATGCAAACAGCCGGGGGTTCTCCACACCAGTCCCTGCCTTTGATCTGGGACTTTTGGCTGATTTCTTCTTCCTGCGTGCTCTGCAGACCCATACCCAGGGCTTGGGTGATGGCTGGGGCTCCCTCGGATGCGCAGTGCAGAGGGATGAGGATGATTGGGTTCAGCCAGAGGCCGGTGGCTCCTGGGTGGAGCTGCCTGGTTCCACATCTGGACAGATGTGCGCTGAGAACAATCAGGGGTTGTTCTGCTGCAGCTGCCCTTGGCCCGAGTGCATCCACTGTGGGCGGTGGGGAGGGCTGAGCCCCCAGCACTGCATGGGTCCAGAGCCTCTGTCTGTCTGTCCAGGAGGAACCGCAGCCCAGAGGCAACAAAATGCTCTCCATGGTATGAGCTGGCAAAGGGCAACCCCAAGAAAAGTCAGGCTGCTGTGTCTTTAGATACAATCACATATATATGGAATGTGCAAGTAGGGGGAAATTGTTATCTATCATTCTGCCAGGCACATCTAGGAACAAAGCAACCATCTGCTGCTGCACCCATAACAGAGGCAGCCCAGCTTGGGCTGAGACACAGCAGCGTCTTCCAGGGGCCTCTTCCAGACCCACTGGGGATGTGTCACTGAGGAGCACAGCTCTCTCTCCCTGCTGGGGATAAGGGAAGGGCTGCGTCCACCCCGGCTCCCACCCAGAGCTTTGCTTTGTGCCCCCCCGCACAAGGGCAGAGCAGTGAGAGCACAGTGGTTGTGTCTCAGGGTGCACAGGAGGGGGATTTGTTCCTTACTTGTGGTCCTGGGATCCTCAGTGGGAGTTGGGGTGTCCAGGCTGTGGGCACATCCCCGGCACAGAGCAGGGGAAGAGCAGCTCTATGTGGGGAAGTCCTGCAGAGCCCTCTGCTCTCCCAAGCACGGCGTTCCTTCCTGATGCTTCATTTCCACGGTGGTTTCAGTGGATCACCTGAGCCCTCATGCAGCCCTGCCTCCCCCCACTCCAGCGGTTTCTCTTTCCCTTCCTTGTGGTTTTGTGCAGTTTTTCCCCTCCATGCTCCTATGTGTCTCCTTTCCCACTTCCGCAGCTGCTGACACCCGCTCTCGCTATCTCCTTCCCCCATCCGTGCCACAGCCTATTTATGGGGCTGTGTGCAGGGGCTGGAGCAGAGCGGTGGAGCTGCGAGCAGGGCTGGCGGTGCCACCATGCGGAGTGTCCGTGGGACAGGACGCCTGCTGCTTTGCCTGCTGCCGGCCATCCTCAGGACCCAGGCTGGTGGGGAGGCGAAGCCCAGGCCTCCACCGTGCCAGCAGGTAAGGCTGCTGCTTCCCGAGGCTGTCACAGCACTCTGCGCTGGTTCACAGCACCCATCCCTCTGTGCAGCAAAAGGGAGATCTCACATGCCTCTCCCCCACGGCACTTACCTCACCCAGCCTCCACTTCTACCCGTCCTGTCTCTCCACCTTCCTGCTCCCCTTTGCTCTCCTGGCTTCAAGCTGTTTGCCCACAGCCTTTCGCAGCTGCTCCCCGTCACTTTCAAACCAATGAGAACATTTCCAGGGGATAGGATGGGACAGGGGCTCTGCAGGGCAGCGCTGTCAGTGATGCCATTAACTTTTCATTCACTGCATGAGAGGACAGCCTACATGGCCAGAGTGTGGGGCTTCTCCCATCTCCAGGAGCACCATCAGGCAGGCTTTGCCTTCCGCTCCCTCACTTATCCTCCAGGGCTTAAGGCTAAGGAGTGCTGGCGATGACCTGCACCCAAACCAGCAGATTGCACCACGCACAAAAATGATCACAAAAAGTGATGTGAAAAGCAAGATCCTTCACCCAGAAAGCCCACCCCATGCTGGTCTCCCGAGCAGCTTCTAGTGGCCTCACCCCTTCCCATTGTAGGCACAGAGCAGATGACAAAGAGCAGCTCCTCTGCATGGAACTGTGCCGGCTGCTGCTGATGGGTTTCCCCGTTTCTCTGTAGAGCCCCACAAAGGTGTCCTGCAGGGCTGCCGGGCTGCACAGTTTTCCCAAGGACCTTCCCCAAGGAGTGAAGCACCTCGATCTGTCCCACAACATCCTTCAGAACCTGTCAGAGAGCCGCCTGCCTGCACTGGGGCAGCTCGAGCACCTGGACCTGCGCTCCAACCGCCTGGAGGCCATCTCAGGGTCGGTGCTGGCCCAGCTACCACGGCTGCACTCCCTGCTGCTGGGCTCCAACCGCCTGCACCAAAACCATCAGGACAATGCAGTGGCTTTCAGTGCACTGCAGGGTATAGAGGTGCTGGACCTGTCGGCCAACGGCTTGGAGACCCACATGGTGAGGGGGTTCCTGAGTGGCCTCACTGCACTGCGGGTGCTGCACCTGCACGGAAACAGATTGAGCCAGCTGCCAGCGGGCATCTTCCAGGGCTCCCCGCGGCTGAGCGAGCTGGATCTCAGCAACAACTACATCATGGACATAGAGGAGGGAGCGTTTGAGGCATTGCGGGAGCTGGTGGTGCTCAGCCTGGCCCTGAACTCCCTGCACTGCCTCTCCAGCTTCAGCTTGCGGCAGTTGCAAGTCCTGAACCTGAGCCACAACGCCCTGGAACTGTTTGGCTGGGAGGAGGGACGGGGTCCCTACCTGCTCCAGGTGCTCGACCTGAGCCACAACCGACTGCTTTCCTTCCCACAGCTCCCAGCCGCGCACCGCCTCGTGCACCTCAACCTCTCCCACAACTCCATCACTTCGCTGGACCCCAGCTCACACCACCCAGCCCAGTTTGCGCTGCGCTACGAGGAGATGGTGAGCTTCAGCACCTCGCTGGCCACCGCAGCCAGCCTGGCCCACCTGGCTGAGCTGGACCTCAGCTACAACCGCCTGCAGCTGCTTCCACTGCTGTTCTTCCGTGCCATGCGCTCCCTGTTCACTCTCAGCGTGGCCATGAACTGCCTCCAGAACATCACCATGGAGCTGCCGACCAGGGACGGGGATGGGGACAGGAATGGCACAGCTGTGTGGCAGGAGGACGCAGCGCTTTCCGTGCGCTCCATGGACCTCCATGGCAACGCCATCCGCGCTCTGCCTCGTTGGTTCTTTGATGCCCTGCCCCAGCTGGAAGCCATCGACCTTGGCTCCAACAGCCTTCAGCCCTGTGGGAGTGACATGGGGGAGATGTCAGGAGGGGGCTCTCCAAGGGCAGAACCCTGCACTGCCTTCCACAGCATCCCCCACCTGCAGCACCTCAGCCTTCGCAGGAACAGCCTCACCCAGCTGCTGCCCCACACCTTCAGCCGAACCCCATTGCTCTCCTTGGACCTTTCTGAGAACCAGGGCCTGGCTGTGCCACGGGTGGCACTGGAGGGGCTGGAGCACTCCCTGCAGCAGCTCTGGCTGCGGGGGAACCACATGGACAACAGCAGGGCTGAGATCCCTTGCTTGGATGAGCTCAGGGTGTTGGACCTCTCGGGCAACCGCCTAAGCCTTCTGCCCACGGGTTTGTTCTGCTCCCCACTGCAAAGCCTGGATGTCAGCGATAACCAGCTGCCAGCACTGCCCAAGCAGGCACTGCTGGGGTGGACCCGCAGCCTGCAGGCATTGTGCCTGGCAGGGAACCCCTTCCATTGCTGCGGGCTGGGCTGGCTGGATGCTCTGCAGGCAGCTGGCGTGCAACTGCCCGACCTGCACCGCGCACGCTGCATCCACCACAGCGTCACAAACAGGACAGCACCACTCGGCAGCCGCCCGCCGTGGCCGTGCCCACAGCCCTGGGATGGCAGCCCAGCGCTGGTGCTGGCAGCCCTGCTGGGTGTCCTGCTGTGTGCAGGCTGCAGGGTGTGCTGGCTGCGGGGCCACAGGATGGGCATCCTGCTGCCACGGCCCCAGGCAGACAGAGTGGCCGAGGAGGAGCCAGCACACAGCGACACCAAAGTATAGCCAGGAGAACCAACTGCAGCTGTGTGTTGTCAATAATACTACTAATATGGTTATATTCAGGCACCTCTCCCAACACGCTGCGTGTTCTGCAGATCTGATAGCACACATCCAGCGCTGGATAGGCACCACGCAAAGCTGGGTCCCTGCAGCCCATTCTTTGCAGGGAGGGAGATGCCCCATCTGCAGGGCCATGAGCAGTGTCAGGAGAGGTTCTGCCCTCTGCTCATGGGAAGGGAATTGTCCCTGCAGCCAAGAACGTGGTGCCACCACCATGAGTTTGACAGCCTGGCTCCCAGCTGGCACCCATAGGGTCAGCAAGGGATGGACGAGGCAGCAGATGGGTGCTGGCTTTGCCAAGGGGCTGAGAAATAAAGGACAGCAACCAAAGAAGGACAAAGAGGGACTGAGGTGTGGAAATCAATCCAGGGAAACGGTGCATGGTCCTCTGCATCTGTATCTGATTCAACAAGCAGCTCTCTGGGCTGCGTCCCACGGTTGCTCCCAGGAGAGCCCCGTGGTTTTGGTGTTAGCAGGTTTCTCTTGGTTGATACCAAACTGAAATGATTGTGTCAAAATGCTGTGTCAAAGTGATTTGTGCCCAGCTGTGGGACAGTGCGACTCCTGGTCTGAGAGGAGCGCTGGCACTGACAGACCCTGGTATTACAGATTTTCTAGAGAATCAGTTGAGAAATCCAGCAAAACTAATTCTTTCCAGTGGAAACCTTTCACATGTCACTGAATCACGCCATTTTCAAAGTAAAAGAGATTTTATCAGACGTTCCCAACTGGCTGCTCTGCTAACTTATGTGGAAATCACCTTGTCTGCAACTAACTGGAGTTAAGGCATAGTTGAGCTTTGCCCCCTTTTCTCCATGGGATCAGGAGACTGGCTGGGAGCTGTGGGATGCAGTGGGCAAAGTCCACCCTGTGCTGCCCCTCTGACAGGCACAGCTCAGCTCACACCTCCCCCAGCTCTGTTGTAGGATAACACGCACTTGGGGCTGCTGTGCTCCTACTCTGTGTTGCACCCAACTCGCACAGCCACGCACGGCCACGATGGCAGAGCTGCTGCTGCAGCTGTCCCTACTTTTGAGCTTTTGCTGCTGTTGATCTTAAAGCCATCACCCCCCTACTGCATGCAGGTGGGATTTATGTTTCCAGCAGCTGTGGTGTTCGCTCTGTGGCTTCGCGATGGGACCGGGGCTGATGGCAGTGCCTCTTCCCCGTCCCGTCCCCATCTGCACATCCTCCAGGACCTCTGCCCTGTGCCCTCCCTCCCGCAGGACGGTGCCACCGCTGCTTCCCATTATCACTCCCTACCACCGCTTCTGCTACGTGACTCAGTGCCACCCCCGCCAGCCACTCCTGCCTCATTGGTGAGGTCGAGCGTGTCATGCATGACACTCTTTTCGTCTTTGCTGGGGCTCTGGCCAGACAGGGACCTGCACCTCCCTCTGGCAGCCACAGAGCTGCTAGCGAGCAAAGAGGGAAGGCAGCTCCCAGGCATCCCTTGCCTCGTTCTCAGGGGCAGCCGTACAGATGCAGACAGCTGTTGTGCAGCTGGGTGCCCCCACCCCACCGCCTTCCATCCTGGTGCCCTGGGGACAGGGCGTGCAGCAGAGCTCAGTCTGTGCTGGGACACTTCTGTCACAGTCACCCCATGGCAATGTCCCCACGTGCTCTGTTCCCTTTGTTCCTGCACCCACAGCAGCCGCACGCCCGTGGTCTCTGTCCCCAGCTGTAAGGTGCCGCCGACCCAGGCAGAGCTGAGCGAGTGCCATGGGAAGCGGGGACAGATCATCACTGTGTGTCAGTGTCCCAGCAGCTCAGCTGATGGGCACCTCGGGAAGGTCGCTGCCTCCCGCAGACGTGTGAGCATCCGTCCTGTGCTGAGGTCACCAACACCTCAGAAAGAGGAAGGAGGTGGCTTGGCTGAAGTCAGTTGTCACAACCACCAGCACAGGGGCACCTCCGGTACCAGCCGCACCCCAAGACATGACAGAGGTGGGCACGGGGGCTGGGGTGGAGGCCACACTTCACAGGTGTCCCCCTTCTGCTCTCACACCAAACCTGTCCCCAGCTGTGCATCACTGCACTTTCTCCCAGGCAGAGAAGGGGACGCCTTTCCCAGGCTGGGAATCCCCTTCCTCACCTCCTCCTGCCTCAAGGCAGCTCCACATTTTAAACATGGAAGTGGAAGAGGTATTTTTAGCACTTGCCCTGCGTTCACTTCATGGATGAGGCATGAAAGAGGAAGTGACATCAAACGAAGGGCGGCTTTGGCTTTAAAAGGAATCCTTTCTTTCCTACTACTCAGTCATCGCAAAACTTCTGTGAAGAGGGGTTGGTAGAAATCACCTGGTGGGAGGCAGCGAGGGGGAGGCAGGAGGTTGATGTCAGATGTGGGTGCTCTGGGCCCAACCAGTGCCATCCCACCGCCACCTGTCACCCCTCCGGATCCCAGCCAACGACACCATCCGCACCCCGAGCAATTTTCCTGGCAGTGACACAGCCAACGGGGGCACAAAGTGCTGAGGGTGGGACCTGCTGGCCCCAAGGAGAGAGAAGGCAGAGACCCCGAGGGGAAGGGGCGGCCCTAACAGCAAAGCCGTTGGCCAGAAGGTGGCAATGTGCCCCTCCGGCTGGGGCTGGCACTGAGCGCCCCGTTAGGATGCGCTTTGCCCATCTCTGTGGGCGCTGCTGCCCTTCCTGCCCAAATCCCCTCACAGCACAGCTGTGCTGACAGATGTTTGTGAGGGGCGGCTGCTGGCCTTTCTGAGTGATTGCTGCCCCGTGTGCTTGGTGGGACGCTGCAGGCTGAGCACGTGGTGAGCAGAAAGCACCCGAGCACCTCCCAGCACTGACAAAAGCTGCTTTTCCTCCTCAAGAAACTCCTGATTCCTCCAGAAGCTGCTCAGATTTCCCCCCGATGTCCCCCTTCAGGCACAAGGCATTTCTCCATTCCTTAAGGTTGAAAAAAGGGGATTCACGGAGAGAAAAATGTCACGACGCCAGAATCTTTGGGATTGGAGCGAAAGGCCCGTTTGGGCTCACAGGAGGGAGAAGTGTGGATGCTGCATCTGGTTCTGGCCAAGGTAAGAGAAGGATCTGCAAAAGCCGTGGTGTGAAGGTGGGAAGACAAGAAATATCAGCGACTTCCAAAGACTTCATGTGCAGCGGTGTTGTCTACATGGCAAACCCATCACAGCAGGGGCTCCAGGGGCAATGCGTCCCCTCACAGCCATTGGCAGAGGTGGGTGGGATTCACAGATGGTTTCTCTCTGCCACTCAGCACCTGGGATTGGAGTCAATGGCCCAGAGTGGGTTTACTTTACAGAGGACGGCAGCGCTGAGCCTGAGGTGTGGAAGGAGCAAAGCAAGCAGCAGATGCCCCAGACAGCAGGGATGCTGCAGGAGGTGCTGGGCTGGTGAGGGAGCAGCCAGGCTGGAGCTGTGGAATGGCCTCTGGCCCTGCAGTGCTTCTCTGCTCTGATCATGGAGGCTGTGGCAGCAGTCTCTCTCTGCCTTTCTTTTTTTTTCTCTTTTTGTTCAGCCTTTTGTACTTACGCTTGGGATTTGTGATGCCAGCCTTTTCCTAGCAGGACCCCACAAAGCACTGTGGCCTTTCCATCCCAATAGAGCACACTGGGGAGGTCAGCCATCCACACTGTGCATCCCAGCTCTGGTTCACGTGACAGCGAGTCAGTGGGAGGTCAGGGGGTGCTCACCAGACGTCCTGCAAAGGGAAAGCACCTCCTGCTAGAAGGGAAGTGGCACAGCGAGGGAGAAAGCACAATTCCAAAGGAGAAGTGCCAGACATGAGCCCAGCTGCTGCCCTGCAGAGCATCCAGGCAGACCCAGCACCGGCTCCTGTGCAACTGAGAGCTGCATGCAGGCAACCCACAGTACCAGGCTGGGAGGTTTCCAGGGCCGTGCTGGTTGGGAAGCTGGCTGTGCTGTGTTTAGGAGGAGTTAACAGCAAGCAAAAAAAGAAAAAAAAAATAATCCAGAAATCAGTATCATTCCTTGCCATCTCTTTTGTCCCTTACTAATGTCATCGCTGCCTGATTCCCACTAGTCTACATCTCCTGCTTATGGGGACAAGTTTTTATCTGCTGAGAAAAGAAGTGTGTGCTTGCTTTGCAAACAAATGGCTCTCCTTGAGCAGCTGAAGGTGATATCCCTTTGCACCAAGCTGCTCTGTGCTCCCCGAGGAGCAACTATTTCAGGAGCAACTGACTGCAGCAATAGTGGGGTACCTGACCAGTGAGATCCCACTCCAGGAGAACCCAGACTGGGGACCAGAGCCAGGCAGTGGGGGTGGCCGCTCCATCCTCCCCCAACAGCTGTGAGCTGTGAATGGCACCAAAACTGCCTTTGTTCCCCTCCCCAGTGGGCAGGACGGAGGCCAGAGGGTATAAAGGGAGCAGAGGCCCTGCTCACAGCCCTGCTCCCAGTCCCATCCCCAGCCATGGGCCGACTCGCTGTGCTCACTGCTGCAGTGCTGCTCTGCCAGCTGGGGCTCGGCATGGCCATCCAGTGGCTGTGAGTAATGGAGAGCAACTGGGGGACAGGAGGAGGCTCCCTTGGGTGTCCCCTGCAGCAGTTCCCTGGGGTCTGCCCATCCCTCATTCCCTGGGTCCCCATCCCAATGCTTGCAGACCCCAACCTCTCACCCCCATCCCAGTGCCCATCATCCCCGTCTGCTCATCCCCATCCCTGTGCTTATGATCCCCTCACAACACAACCTCTCTCAACAGAGCATTGGCAGAGAACGGCAGCAGAGTGTCCTGGGACAGAATCCATCACTGCCGGCTGCTGGCTGGGCTCGTGCCCGACCAGCTCCAGATATGTCGCAGGAACCTGGAGGTCATGCACAGCATCGTTCAAGCTGCCAGCAAGACCAAGAGCATCTGCCAGAAGACCTTTTCCAGCATGAGGTGGAATTGCTCCTCCATCCAGCGTGCCCCCAGCTTCGGTCCTGACCTGCTGAAAGGTAAAGAAGAGAAAACTTGCTGCCATTACACCGGTGTTAATCGTGTGCCATTCGATCTGCAGGAGATGAGACATCTCCCTCTTTCTTTCCAGGGACCAGGGAATCTGCCTTTGTCCATGCACTCTCCGCCGCCGCCATCGCACACTCCATTGCCCAAGCCTGTGCCTCAGGGTCACTCCCGCTCTGCTCCTGCGGCTCCGTCCCCTCCGAGCTCCCTGGACCGGACTTCAGATGGGGTGGCTGCGGGGACAACCTGCACTACGGCCTCCAGCTCGGTGCTGCTTTTGCTGACAGCCCCCTAAAATCCAACAAGCTGGGACTGCAGGCTCTGAGGGCCGTGAATTGGCATAACAACGTGGCAGGCAGGCAGGTGGGTACGGCCCACGGCCCCTTCAGGTTGGATATTAGGAAAAATTTCTTCTTGGAAAGAGTGGTGATGCACAGCTGCATAGGAAGTGATGGGGCCACTGTCCCTGGAGGTGACCCGGAACCATGAGAATGTGGCACTGAGGGATGCAGGGATGGGCTGGGGCTGGGGATCTGAGAGAGCCCTTCTAACCTCAGTGATTTGATGATTCTGTGACGCAGGGTGCAGAGGTGCTTGAGGTAAGGAGGTAGGCTCCAGAGGAGGACACAGTTCCTGAGCCTTTGTGAGAGCTGGGGAAGCTGCCACCCCACTACAAGCTCCACCAGGGCACTTCCCAAGGGTCAGATTCTTATTACAAAGGGAACAAAGCAGGATGAGTCCTCGATTGCTCCACTGAAAGAAGGCACTCTCTGGATGTCCCAACAGCACCACTGTCTTTAGCCTCTAAATGAGAGAGGAGAAGTCTCTCTGATGGCAGTAAGCAGCTCAGCTCTCCCATCTCTTGAAAGTGACCGTGGATGTTCTTACAAACCTGTTAGTGGAGTAGGAACCAGGAGCAGCCACTAAATTCTTATTTCCACCCTCTGCAGGTGCTGAGTGAGTCCCTGGATACCAAGTGCAAATGCCACGGTGTTTCAGGCTCCTGTTCGGTGAAGACCTGTTGGAAGGCACTGCCGACTCTGGCTGAAATTGCCTCCGAGCTCAAATCCAAGTACCTGGCAGCCATCAGGGTGAGCCACCGCCTCGTGGGGCGCAGGAAGCAGCTGAAGCCCATGGAAACAGACATCAGGGTGGTGAGAGACACGGACCTGGTTTATCTGATTCACTCCCCCGACTACTGCACGCCCAATGTCCACCTGGGGTCTGTGGGGACACAGGACAGGTAAGGACCAGCTGCAAATATGCTCTAAGAGCCGCCCAGGTGGGCACCAGCACTGTGGGTGGGAGGCATACTGCCTCATTCTGACCCATGCATCCCCCCTTGGCAGGCAGTGCAACAAGACATCTGCAGGCAGTGATGGCTGCGACCTGCTGTGCTGTGGCCGCGGCTACAATGCTTACGTGGAGGAGGTGGTGGAGAGGTGTCACTGCAAGTACCGCTGGTGCTGCTACGTGCTGTGCAAGAGATGCCGGCGGCCGGTGGAGAGGTATGTCTGTAAATAGTGTGGGGCATCACAACAGGCAGCAGGACGTGTGTTGAGTCCTCCAGCGTGCAGCTGGGGAACGGGCACCATCTGCAAGCAGTGCTCTGAAGGGGATTGTGCTGCAAGCCTGGACTCTGGAACTACAACAGAAGACCTCAAACTGGGTGATGATGGGAAGCCTCAAACCAGAGGACGACCTCTGTCTCACCAGAGTGAGACAAAGGGCTGCCCTCCTGCAGTGGATCAGCATCTGGCCCTCTGTCTCCAGCTGGGGACAACCATTTATCACTCGGCCCTGTTCTCCAGGGGTGAATGGGGACTCTGCACTGCCATTGTCCTTTTGCAGGAGGCTTTTGACAGTGGCCTGAAAGCCAGGAGTGATGGATGAGAAGATGGGTAAAGAGTTGTCCATGGGGGGAAGGCTGCAGAAAGAAAACCGCTGAGGTTGAGGGGGTCCTGGTAGACCCTCTGGAGCCAGGTTTCTGCTGTGGATTCACCCAACACCACTGAATGTTCCTCCTCACGGGCAAACACTGTTCCAGAGCTCTTTGTAGCATCTGAAACAAAGAGCAGAGGCAGAGTCAGTGACGGCTCCAGGAAATGGAACTCATCGCTTTCCTCCACGACCCACATGGAGATGGCTGCAGGTCTCACAGTTACAAGACTTCAGCTGTGGCTGATGGAAGTTGCTCCTTCCACCCCCTGACCCCAGGTGTGCTGCACTGGCCTGGGGAGAGGAGGGGACTCCTGAAGAAATAAGCATAACTCTTTAGATTCACTGTCAGTGGGATTCCGGTGCGTGCTGCTTAAATAAATGTACCATACCATGCCTCTGTGACAGAACTACGTGTCACCTCCTCCCACCTTGGCATTCAGCTGACCCCAGAGAGAACAAGGCTGGAAGGAGAGCGCGAAGCACAGTGTATAAGGTTCTGGTAGCTGGAAACAGAGGCAGCTGGGGCTCATTTTCTGATCTGCATGTATGTGGGTTGGAGCACAGCGTGCATCGAGGACAGGGTCCTGATTCACCTCATCCTTCCCTCAGTTGCCATGACTGCTTTTAGCAGGAGAGTTGGAGAAGTGCTTGCATAGAATGAGATTCCAGTTCATGCAGCCTTTGGAGAGAAGGGGTGAATTTAAGCACGTGTGTGCTGAGGAGAACCCACAGCACAAGGAGTGCAGGTAGATGCGCCTGAGATCCCAGGATGGCTTCCTGCAGCTCCCACCACGACATAGAGGCTCTGGCAGCCTTGCGTGCGCCTTGTGTAATTTGTGGTTTGCATTGAATGGAGCTGGTTGTGCTCAGCCCTGAGTCCAGCTGTAAGATTACTCATTTCCATATTCATTCAATCATTTTTTAACAGCCTCAGCTGGGTCACAGAATCAATTCATAAGCTTTTGTTGTAAACTATCCCCTCCACTTAATGTGCTCCAGGTTTCTCTATGAACAGTGAGTAAGAGCTGAGAGTCCGAGGCGGCTCGAAACAAGGCTGGGAGCTGGAAGCCCAAATCCTCAGGGGTGAAGCATGCGCTCACATGGCTAACCAAGTGAGTTAACCATCATTATCAGTTGTTAGTGCAGCACTGACTCGGTCTGGCTGCTGACATACTGCCTTCCCAGAGCCACGGGAAGGCCACAGCTGGGAGGCTTCCGCTGCAGCTGCAAGGGCAGAGGAGCTATCTCCTGTTTGTCTTTTAAAATGCAATTAGGAGTCAGTCACCAGCATTCCTCGGAAAGGGAGGCTTCAGCTGCAACCCAGGACCTGAGTACAGAGGTGATGCAGGTACTTAATTAGGAGGACTGCTTAAATACCTTCCCCATAGCCACCCCCACACCGCAAGATCACAGGGAGGTGAAGCTGGGAGGGGCTGCGAACTCCTCAGAGCATTGCAAAACGAGCTGGGGAGAAGAAAAGAGGGGAAGGATACTGTGAAGGGAGAGATTCCACCAGGAGGGTGGGAAATGTGATTTGCATTTGGTAACTGCAAACACACATTGCCTGGGGTGGAGGAGAGGAGTCACAATAGCTAGGAGCGCCCTGGGGAGATGTCCTGATTCCCCTCCTGGAGAGGTCCCGTTTGAATTTCTGCAGGGTCAAGGGTGGAATATGCAGAGCCCCTCTCCTCCTCTTGCTGCTTGCATTCTGCTGCAGGCCCAGCAGGGAAGGGCTGGAGGGGCGGTCAGCAGTGGGATGCTGGGTTCCATCTGCGTCCTGCGGGAGATGGGGAAGTGCTGTAATTAGCTGAGGGGTGCAAAGAGGTCAGGCTGGCAGGAGGGGCTGCGGTGGGGTGGTGGCAATTCACTGACAATGTTTAGAATGGGATGTGCTGCAATCTGAGTTTGCAGCTGGAATTTACAGTCTTGTGAGATCAGCTAGGCTGGAGGAGTCTCCTCAGGATTGGGAGCCAGAGCAAAATCCAGCAAGGGATCCAGAGGGAATAAACCATCTGCTTGGCTCCAAGGTCTGCTGGGTGTATCTTCTCTCTCTAACCCTGCCAGGGCAGGAAAGCCAGCAGAAGGCTGCTAAGGGCACCCAGAGCCCTGTTTCCCCAGACCAATGCAGGCAACCTCCAAGGCAAAAGATGGGAAAACTTGGACCCTGACATCACCCTCAGGTGTCTTCCAGCACCCATCAGTGAGATGTTGCCAGAGAAAACGATGCAGGAGGGCTTTACCTTAGCTGCCTGCAAACCTCGCTGCCATCGCAAACGCCTCAAGGTGTGAAAGGTGCCTCTTCATGATCTGAATTAGCTGGACAACAGTGGCAGCAGTGTCCCTGATGCTCTGTAAGGATTACGGGTTTGCAGCCCTTCAGACACATCCTCCCTTATTTCTTTTGCCCCATGTTCACAATCAGTCCTCTCCGCACTGTGGCAGGCTGCTGTCATTACCCTCTGCTTCACAAACCCTCTTTGGGCTCATCGCTGATGTGACAGATCTACCTCTTTGACTCCTCTCTCATTACCCATTTTCCCCACATCTTGTGGCTTTTTGTTTATCTGTCTCTGGAAATGAGACTCCCGGAGTTGAATGGTCATGGCAGAAGCTCTTCACTTTGCAGTGCTGTGAACTGACCTGGGAGAGACAGCTCTAAAAGTGGCTCATGCACAGAAGAAAACCGTCCCTCTGCAAGCAATTTGGTGAGAATCAGGCAAAGGGTTTGCTCTGAAAAGCCTCCTCCCTGTTATTGCTTGGCTTTTGCGTTTGAGAAGAGTAAAACAGGTGTGAACATGGCTGCTCCCTGCTGGTTAAGGATGCTGCTTAACTAATTCTAGGCGGACAATCCAAGCAAGGGCAACGAGCTGTTGGTCAATAAGTAAAATCTATGGGGAAGAATGGCACTGCCTTCAAGGATGCTTTGGGATATTCCTTCCCTACAGCCCCAGAATGCAATTCTGAGAGGAGAGTGCTTGAAAACACAGCTCCTTCCTTCTGCTGACCCCATGGATGGCTGAGCCAGAACAAGGGGGAGGCACAACTGAGGTCACTGTTTGGGGCTCAGCTGTTGATCAGTGCCTATTCCGTCCTAAAGATCTGGGGAATGTTACCTTGACCTTTGGTGTTTACAGCATCACACCACCAGATACAAACATGAGCAGAGACTTGTATTTAAGGAAAAACCCTTGGCTCTTTGTTCTCCTTTATTTGTAGGGTGTTCAGCAATGTCACGAAGTCTTGAGGATGATAAGTAACAAACAGGGATTGCCCTTGTGGGGATCTTCAACTGAGAGATGTAGGTGAGTAACAGACATAAGACCAGAGGGGGAACTGGTCCCCAGTCTGAGGGCCCTTGAGCACAGCTTAAAGGGCAGCTGCAGCAATGGCTGTGCTGGATTCAGAGAGGAAGGAGACTTCCATGTTTTCCTTGAGGCTCAGCAGGCTGGAAACCCTCCCAGCTCTGCGCCCCTCAGTTCACCAAGTTGCAGGGCACAATTCCCAGATGGAAAAGGCTTCTACAGAGAACAGCACTCCTGTAGTGGAAATGCTAACTTATGGCCTGAAGCAGTGATGGAGCACTGGTGGGAAGGCAGGGCCAACCCAGGGGAGCTCAGGTGCATGCAATGCACTGAGTGATGGAAGGGATGGAGCCAGGGTCCACCCCTGCCCAGCCCTCATTTAAGGGTTGGTGGTGGAGGTGAGGGCATCTCTTGCTGGAGATCCCTGCATAGCTGAGGTCTTCCAAAGGTAAGCAGCTCTTTTCCTTCATTTCTGCATCTGTGGCTGCTGCATTTGGGCTTGTTCTCATTTGCTGTAGCCAAAGACTTTGCCACCCTGCCATTATCACCCCATTACAGCATTGCGACTCCAAAGTTAAAATCTCTCTTGGTGCTTGCTTATTGCTCTCCAGAGCAAAACTAACGTGTCAGAGAGCTCAGGAGCACGATGCTACCTGCTTCTGTTCCAGCACTCTGTGGCCTTTTCCAACTATCTTTCTGCCAGTACAGAAAAGGTGCCGTGGTCCTCCTTTGAATGATGAAATGATACCACCCTCCTTCTGTTTACTTATGGGGACACTGCCTCTGAAGGCAGTCAGAAAGTGAGGTAAGGTGGAATGAGGGCTGCAGAACAGCCTCCTCTACAAAGCAGAAGCAGGCACAAGCCCATGAGCAGCCCAGGGTCTCTGTGCCACGGGGCTTTTCCAGGCATGCCCTAGAAGTGCAGACAGATTTTGAGGACCTTCTCAGTTTGCATATGTGTCAGCCTTGACCACTGCACAGTGGAGCAAGGGATTTCCAGGCATGCTTCTGTCTGGCTGGAGCATTACTGGTGTGTGCTGTGCTACAGGGGATAGCAGGAGCTCTGAAGCCTTCCAGGTGGCTGGATGCATTTGTAATATGCTGGTGCTCCTGGGGAGCACAAAGCGGGCCCTCTGGTTGTGCAGTCAGATGCTCTGCACACATGCCTTAAATGCAATACACCACAGCAGTTCTAGGTTTGCTACATGTATAGTGGAAAGCACGAGGGCATGTTTCATGGCTGAGAAACATAAGAGCTGTCCAGAACCTGTGGCCGGGCCCTAGATATTGACTTTATGCTGAGAACCTACCATACTGAGACACACGAGAATGGGAGAGCAGGAGAAATCAATCCTGCTTGTAAAAGCTGGGACACTCCTCCTTTTCACATGTAGCAGGACTAATCACAGCCACCATCCCTACCGTCAGGGTCTTGCTGGGTAATTACACCTGCCAAAGAATCATTTATTTTTTCCCTTGTGTTAAGAATGCTGCCTCTGTAATTGGAAGAGGCAGCTCCAAAAAAAAAACCCACATCCTGCCAGTCTGTAAGAGGACGCTGTGTGTGGGTACATGCACCTCATTATATTGAGGCTGGAGAGCAGACAGACCACGGGCACTTTGGTCACCAGTCCTTATTGACTTCATTCTCTGCTGTGTAAGTGAAGCCTGTTGTTGACCATATGGGACAGCAGACAAAACCAGGGGTAGTTAACTGCTAGCAAGGAGCTTTAGGAGCCTCCAACTAGCAAACAAGTTTGCCCACTCGACTCCTCCTTCTCCATCTTGGAGGAAGCAGGGCTTAATGTAGATTTCCTGCTCTCTCAGTCCAGCTTGCATGGTGAGCTGTGATAATGTGCTGCTCGAGGCCAGTCGTGTGCTGCCACTGATAGCCTGGGTCTAAGCTGACCCCTCCTTCCCGATTTTAAAGAGAGGGAAAGCAGGCTGAGGTCCCGCGCTCCATCATCAGCCTCTGCACAGCTATTTGGAGAGCAAGCAGACAGCTCCTCTTGAACCTGTCCGGCTTGTTCTGAAGGCTTACAAGAAGAATGCCCAAAGGAGAAGTTTAATCTTTAACAAACAGAGATATTCTACAGGCAATGTGATCTCTGAACTGCTGAGGCTATCCTGGTAACACAAAGGTGACGGCGTTCACTCCAGCATTCTCTATCGCTCTGATCCTCAAAACGTTGTTGAAATTTAGAACCTTGGAGAGAGTGATACGATAGGTTTACTGTGGGGTTTCCAGTAATGCACACGAAGGTGAAAGATGCTGTATCAAGTGCATTGCTGCCTCTCTAATGAAAGTGAACTGACTGTAATTATTGGGGATTTCGCAGTATCTTCTGCCAGTGAGCAACGAACGGCTGTAGATTCCTGGCCCTGTTCTACTTCCAGTTAATACATTAATTAGTTTTCCCACCACTGGACATACTGCTTTTTACTTCCTGCCTTGTGTGCAGGATTACCACAGAACGATGTGCTAAGCTGTTGACAGAGCTCACACCACTGGTGTCTGTGTTTTCAGTCAAAACATGGTCATGCAGAGGGGGGATGAGAGAAAAGTACAGCCATCGAGATGTGCTCAGGACACAGCATGCAGGATCCTAAACCCACAACTCTTCAGCTTTTATGATTAACTTTTTATCAATGTATCTCATGCACGCACGAATAAAGCAAACAGAGCAAATCATAAACTGACTCATCTGTGGAAACTGAGTGCTTCCAGCCTGCCCTGAATTACTGTCACACCATATAAATTGTTCACATCTAGGTCAATGACTTGTATCGTGTTTCTGTGTTTGTAAAAGTGTAGCTTTAACCCTTACCCATCTTATGCCTGTTTTAATTTCAGGGGTACATAAGGGAAGAAAAGAAACACGTGGAGAAGAAATGGCAGTAGGCACTGCACCTGAACAGCAAAACACAGCACTGTGCTGCCAGGTGTCCAGGATGCTGTGTCACATTCCAGACCCGGGCAGTGCAGCGATGGCTGCGTGCAGAACGAGCGCACAGTGCAGCCCAGCCTTGACATCAAGGTGCCATCAAGGCTCTTCCAGGAGCAGGACGGGCCACGTGAAGCACCTGTCCGTGCCTGGGGCAGGGCGTGCTGGCTTTCTGACCACGCGTTTCCGCAGTAGCGGTGATTTGGGGGCCCCTGGAGGGACCCACGGCAGTGCCTGGTGTGTGGGTGTCACGGCGATGGCTTGGCTCCCTCTGGTGCAGCGGCACGAGCAAAACACAGCTGGCTGCACCCAGCCGAGGGAGCTGAGCCCTGCAGGGCTGCCGGCACGGGGTCCTCGGCACGGCGGCTCGTAATCCCGATCTCTGGTTGGTTTTACAGCGACTGTTCCCCATTCTGGAGCAAGCACTGCTCAGCTCCAGCTCGGCTCCTGCTGCACTGCGCTGTGTGGACGGACTCTGGCCTTCGGCTGTGCTTTTTATTTAATTAACAGAAATCAATGAAAATAACGGAAAGAGACTTGTGCCATTGAACAAAACCAGCAAACGACCATCTGCAGAGGAGGGGATATGGGAGCACTATTCAAATAAGAGGCAGCCGGAGGGGCTCGGTGCGATCCGGGATGCATCTGTGCGAGCCCGGATCTGCGTCACTGCACGGCGCTCCGGGGCCAAGAAACGGAGAGCTGCCGCCACGTGTGGGTGAAACTGAGGCTGAGAGGTGCGCAGATCCGGATAGGTGCATCCCTAACTGATTGGACCTCCGATTTGTTAACGCTCTGCTTTGCGTTCCCTACGGCCTCGGTTCGGACCATCCTGTGACCGCACTTCTGCGCGCTCACGGCGGCCCGGCCCCGCCCTCACCAAGATGGCGGCGCCATTCTCACCAAGATGGCGGCTCCGCCCTCACCAAGATGGCGGAAGGGGCGTCGCCGCCGTTACCGGAAGCGGGCGGCAGGCGGTTCCTTCCCGGCCCAGCATGGCGGAGGCGCCGGGCGAAGGCCCGCGGCTGCCGGAGCTGCTGGAGACGGGCTGGCGGCTGCTGGAGGAGGTGGAGGCCAGCACCGAGCCGTCCTCCGGAGCCCCGTCCGTGCAGGCCAAGGTGCGGCGGGGGCTGGGCGCGCTGCAGCAGGCGGCCGCCATGGTGGAGGAGCTGCAGCTGTTCAGGTGAGGCGGCAGGGCCGCGGGGCCGGGGCCGCAGCGCCGGGCGGGCTGTGAGCCGATCCGTTGCTTGCAGCGAGAACGAGGAGCTGGAGGAGATCGCCTCGGCCGACCTGAAGTACCTGCTGGTGCCCGCGCTGCTGGGTGCGCTGACGCTGCGGCAGGTGGAGCCGAGCCGGCGGCGGGAGCACCTGGAGAGCGCCCGGAGGCACCTGTGCCGCTTCCTGGAGCTGTGCCGCTCCTACGGGCTGAGCGGAGCCCCGCCGCCCCCAGCCGCCCCTCGGGAGGACGGCGAGCCCGGCAGCGCCGCGCAGAGCAGCCTGCTGGCCATGGCCTCCAGCCGGCAGGCCAAGATCGAGAGGTGAGAGCCGCGGGATGGGCCTTGAGGGCTCAGCCTTTCCTGCACGGGCACTGCCTGCCTGTCGGTGTGCCTGTCGGTGTGCCTGTCGGTGTGCCTGTCGGTGTGCCTGTCCGTGTGCAGCACTGCGGCTCCTGCTGAGCTCCACCCCAGCTGGCCCCACCTCAGCAGATGGGAGGCGGCTGCCCCAAGCCCTGCTGTGAGCAGGTTCGTGCTTGACCTGCTTGGAGGACGAGCCGTTGCAATTACAGCAACAGGGACAAAAACTTCCCAGAGCTCTGTGTCATCATGCAGAGCTGTCCCGTCCCAGTTGCCATTGTCAGTAGTTGACTAAAGGGAGCTCATCCTGCTGCAAACAAACCAGAGAGGGGCGGTTTGCTTTGCCTCCCTGCAGCACAGGGCTGGGCAGGCAGGTGCTCAACTTCTTAAGGTGTGTTTTTCAGGGTTTTCTGTGGAGCGTTTTATAGAACAGCTCATAGCTCCATGTCCTTTCAGCTCCCATAGGCTGCTAATCTTCGATTCTTACTGTTCATTCTGTGGTGACGCTGTAACTGAAGGATTTACCCTGGAAGTGTGTTAGATAGGTAGTCCTCCTCCCTGCCCCCTGCTTCTCTTAATTAGGCCAAGAAAATCCAGAAAGCCAAAAGCACAGTAAAAAACTCATCTGCAGGCATATAACCATCTGAGACAGAAATTGGAAATGTGCTCAGTTGTCCTTTTAACCTCTGGCAAAGTCTAGTAAAAATCCATTGCAGTGCCCAAGTTGGAGTTGAGAGTAGGACAGAATGGAGAAAGTGGGTGGAGAGGATCTGGATGCTGCAGGTATGTGTATGGTCATGCATTTTCAAAGCCTTTGTAAGCACAGTGGAACTCTTCTGTAGTTTTCATCTGTCAGAAACTCACACTGAGGTGGAGTTATATCCTCATGCTTGGTGTTCTGCCTCTTACTTGTGCTTTGTTAGAGGTCACCAGGAAATGACAGCTGGTATGATCTGCTGCTATGTTCCTGAAAGTCACTGCTTTAGCTCTGTGGGACTGTTGGTCCCTTGCTGTATGAGTGGGTCGTGCTCTCACTGGTACATTCCTCAGCAATATGAGGCTCTTTGTGAATAGCTGGGATTTATTTACCCTAGTGAGCAGTGATCAGAAACTGGCACTTCTGTGCAAAGCAATTAATGTGGGACGGGAAATAGCTCTCTAACTACATTTTATTCAAGTTCAAGAAATAGTTTATTTTGGAAGACAGAGTGGGCTGTGCTGGAAAGTTTATTGGAATTAATTAATTATTCTTTTCTCTTCGAGCCAGATATAAGCAGAAAAAGGAACTGGAGAACAAGTTGGCCTCTCTGAGAACCTTTGTGGAGAGTGGGCAGGCAGATGAGGAGCAAATACGGGAGCTGTATCTACTGCAGGCCCGGAAATGGGTCAACATCAGCTTTGAGGAAATTGAGAGCATCGACCAGGAAATGGTCATCTTGAAGAGCAGGGATACAATGAAGCAGGTATGAAGTCTCTCTTGATCTGCAGGTCCTGTGAACTCTGCATAGTTAGATCTCATGATAAAAGCTGTTGTGGGTAAATGAACCGTGGAGGAATTCATCAGAGTTTCCTAAATCTTGTTCTTTGGATTCTAGATCAGAGTCTTAGCTCGTGCACAGCATAAATGGATGGGGCTTGGTTGAATTCTGAATGGCCAGTGGTGCTGCCACATATCTTAGACAGTCATGGATTGTTAAATGCTGGAGCACTGAATATCAGAGCATAGCTGCTCTGCACACAGAGGCTTTTTTCCACTTGGCTGGGTTGTGCCAGACCTTTAACTCTAAAGAAGTAAATACGTTTTTTAATTAAAACAAGACCTTCGTGGCTCTTATTTTTTTTCAAGACTGCACTTTTGAGCCTACAGAAAATCCTGATGTTAGAGTAAAACATTCCATTCCGAGTGAGGAAAGCTGCTTAGGGACCTGCAAATCATGTGTAGGACAGTTTCTGCAGACTTCATGCTACTCACCTCAAATGTCTGTCTAGAATTAAAAAATCTGAGTGTACCATAGTCCAGCTTTGGCACAGCTGGTTTGTGCAATTCTTTATTGCAGAGCTCTGCTGTTCTGTAGTGCCCTGGGTGATATCTTCATGAATGATGAGCTTGATTGGCTTCATAATGTACTGCGTTTGATCCATGGAAAAAATAAGCTATATTTCATGCTTTGATCTGAGCTGATCTGGTTTAGCTCTGTTGACTTTCTGCTTTGATCAGAGTGAGTATAACAAAGGCACAAAGCGGAGTGATTTGTGGAAGCTCACAGATGGAGTTCATGATTTAAACTGGATTAAGAGCTGAATTGTCTGACTTGGGATGTTGCACTGACAGCAGAGGCATTTATTTTCTACAAGACCCTTAGTAGCTTGCTTGGGGTGGGAGGTGAAGAAGGGAACTCTTATCTACATGATTGTCTTATGACTCTTGTTGGCAATTTCAGTCCTCAGCACCGCCACATGGTCCTTCTCGGCAAGTCAGGACTCCACTGAAACCTTTCATTCTTACCCGGGATGCAGTTCAGGCTAAGTATGTTGGTTTTTGACTATTTAAACACAGTGTGATGCAGTGTTGTGTTTTCATGGTGAGTCTAAGATCCTTTTCCAAATGCAGGAGGGCAGTCGTTGTCTTCAGGTAGCATGTCACACCAAGATTGCATCTGTTGTATGGTGAGGGATGGGGGAACTTCTGATACATTTCTTCCAGTCTCTAACTTCTTTTGTTGTCAGCATATTTCAGTGTCTCAGCTGTCAGTACAAGTTGGGGTGCAGAGCAGTTCCATGCACTGATGTTGGTTCAGTCGTGCAGAACGTTCCTTGACCATCTGTCTCGTCCTGTAGAGTGTTTGGTGCTGGATATCCTGGCCTGCCAACTATGACTGTAAACGACTGGTATGATCAGAAGAGAAGGGAAGAAGCAGCACGTGGTCAGACTGCACCTCAGAGGCCACCAAGTAAGGCAGAATGGATCCAAAATGGGAATAGAGAACTTGGTAGCTCTCTTGAGGGGAAGGGTGAATGGGAATGTATTCAGGATGTGAAACACCCGCTAGCTTTCTCCATTGGGTTTGAGAATAAATGGTTGCTGGGCTGCTGTGTGGCAGTTCCTGCTTTCTGTCTGGACCTCACTCTTGTTCTTGGCCTTTAGCAGACACAAATGACGAAGAGTCGCAGAAGGAGCAGCAGGAGAAAACAAAGGAGGAGGATGATGAGGAAGCTCTTCAAAAAGCTCGGGACTGGGATGACTGGAAAGATACACACCCAAGAGGCTATGGCAACCGGCAGAACATGGGCTGATGCTCCAGCAGCAGAGAGAGCAGGGCCTGGAAATCCTGTAAGAGTTGCCTATGTCTCGCAGGCGTAGGAATAAATGCACTGTACATATGCAGAGGTATCCTTGGCTTCTCTGCGAGTCACTGGAATCAGAGGAGTGAGCGTGACAATTTGCTTTGGTTTACATGAAACGTCAGGCTGACAGCGTGCTTGTCCTGTGCAGTGACAGCGGGGGCTCCTGGCAGCGGGCGCTGTGATGGGTCAGGCTGCCTCTGCCCTCCCAGTCAGAGGAAGTCCTTGAAAGAAAAGTACCTGAGTTTGGAAACCGCTCTTTGTATTGTTGGTGGATGTATTTATTTTTTCCTCTATATTTTAAACAAAATAAAATCTCTTGTGTTGCCTAGTTCTCCTTGTGAAAATCCATTGCTTTTCATCCTGGTCTCTTCCAGGGCTTGTGTCAGCTGGACAGTTATTTTGGCCAGGGCTACTGTTGGCCCTTTCCACTGCCTCATCGCTCTGTCCCTCCCCAGGTAGAGGTTTTTTGTGGGTTTTTTTTGGTATGTTAAGTAGATCAGGTGTTCTGAGGGCAACGTGTTGAAGTGCTGATACTACACATAGTACAACAGCCTTAATATGAATGTTTGTCCTTTTGCTTTGTGTAACGTGGAGTCTGCGTATGTATGGACAGTGTATGTCCTCAGGACCCTCTAATGGGGCATTGCCAAGGCCAGTGCTGGGACACAGCAGTGCCACATGCAGAGGAGTAATGCGTTGGTGGTCAGCATGCTCTGAAATATCCTTACAGAATAGCCTTGAAGGATCTGGGTTCCTCTAAAGCAAGCTAGTGGGAGCTCTGGCCTTGCCAGCTGTGGGCCAGCAGCTGCCATTAGGTTGTTCTAAACCTGTTAAAAATGCAAAGTATGCTACAAATGTCAGGATTAAAAAAAAAAGAAGTACCTCTCCTGCTTGTGTGATAGCACATTTTCCAGAGCAGTTTCAATCTTTTATTTGGCCCCAGCTGAGGCTTCATCAGCAGCTGCTCCCTCACCTTTAGGAACAATGGGATTTTAGAAGAATTTAGCTCTTTTTTTTCTTCTTATGAGCATGATTCATGCAAGCTGGGCTGCACGATTGCTCAGATGCAATGTCAGCACCTCTTGGCAGCGTGTGCTGAGGAGCTGCCAGTAGTCTGCAATGGATGCAGCTCCCTCTTTTTCCAGGTATTTTTTTTTCCTATGATTTACCAGATCAGATTGTGGATTTCTGTGCCTTCCAAAACTTTTTTTTTTTTTTGCTTTAACAACGTGTGCAATCTTGAATATGAATTAACTCCTTTCCTGTGTTGCTGTCAGCCTGCTGCTCCTGGTGAGTCCTTCTGGAAAGACGTGGCTCCGCTGGATGGCATCCTGCAGGTTTTCTGTCCCCTCCACTGCCGGCCTACAGCCCGCTCTCTGGGCTGCTTCCATGCTGCTTTTGTTTCCTCCTTTCTTCATGCATTTGGAAGGGAACCTTTCCCATTTTTATTTTGTGAAGTTGCACCCAGTCTTTTTGGTCTCCTACACCTGTCCTTTAGCAAGCAGGACTACATGCCAGCATGAAGGCTTCTTCCAGTGGAGGAAATCTGGATGCCAGGCACCACCCTGGCCATCCTCTTGGTTTGCTGAGGAGGGAACCACATGGCTGTGGCTGACAACCAGCTCACCAAGCTGCATCCTACCCCACTGGGTATCAGGGTGACATTTTCAGGTGCCTCTTGCATCGCACCAGCAGGGCAGGATGGCGGGTTGTGAAACACCCACAGTGCCATTCCTGGGGGGCAACGGCTGCCGGCGGTGACAAGGAGGAGTTGTCACTGTGTGACTGCTCCCAAGGAGCTCCAGCACCCACCCTGGCCCTGCTCCTCTCCACACGTCCCCCTCGCATCGGTCGGGGCGGTCACCGAGGCCGGCTGAGCGATCAATCGCCGCCCAGGATTTCCAAACCTGCCTTTTAACCCACTGAGCCGGGCTCCAAAGCAGAGCTTCCTGCCACCATGAAAACAATCATTGCAGCCTGTTCCCAAAATCTGAGTGGTAAGGAATATCCAAATGTTTGAATGGTTCCGAACGCTCCGGCGCTGTATGGGCTCGGGCAATTAGCGTTTGCTGTCACTTATTGTCTGTTTGCTTTAAGACTGCTCAGGGGAAAGGGAGGTGTTGGGAACAATTTGGGGTTAGCGGCACCAGAGGAAAACATAAAGTTGCTCAACAGGAATGGGATTTCTTAAGTTAATGCTGACCAGGCGTTAGGAAACGCTCCTCCTGTGAGATGCTGCAAAGTGATGCCAGTTCTGCTCTCATCTCCGCGCTGCCCGGAGCTGTGGACGCTGAGCTCCTCAGGGGAGGCTCCCACCACGACTGGGGAGCGGTGTGGGCACAGCACCAGGCATCGCCCATTGCTCCGCTGATGGTTTTCATTGTGCAGTCTGGAAACCAGCGGAGTGCTCGAGGGGCTGTAAAAAGAGCTAAAAAAAGCAACGTTGGGGTAGGCACAGATGGGCTGTGTGTCTTCGCTGGAAAAGTCAGCAGGCATTGGGAAAGCTGAGAGCCACGGGGCTGGAGGATTTCTGGGAATGTGGCATAGCAGGGGGGTGTTTGGAACGGGGACAGCGCTGAGAGGGAGAGGGGGCAGAATCCTTCTGCCAGGGTGGTTCCAGCACTCTGTTTTTCCCTATTGCTCCGTTCTTCCCCATTGCGCTGTTCCTGATTTGGTTTGAGGTGGGAAGAGGTGAGCTCCCCCCGGGACTGCTGCTGGTCCTCAATGGGCACAGCTCTATCCCCTCTTCCCCTGCACATCTCTCTCACTGCAGGTTTCAAGTTGTTTTCACAGCCCTGCTGCATCTCAGACCTTTGGACGATGGCTCAGGCCCGTTTTGGGGGAGGAGGGATGGGGCTACTTGTGGAGTTTGGATCCTGGCACTGTCTGGGGTGGTTAATGGTTCACCAGATCCAGCAGCGGGGAGCAGGGCCAGGCTGTCTCTTCAGGGACAACGGGGGCATCCACCCCTACTGCTGTCCTTGGCACTGCCGGGAGGGCAGACATCAAGCATCCCCAGCCCATCCACCCTACATCCCAGCACCAGCCAAACAGGGCCACTCCTAGCATGGCGGTGACTCTGTGGATGGGAATGCTGAGCCCACCGTGTCTGTGTCCCCACAGGCAGCCGTGCCAGCCTCCATGCCGCCCTGCGCACACTGCTGGCCGTGCCATGGCCCTCACAGAGGGATGTCCGTGCCTGGCTGCAGCTCCTCGCCGTGCTCCAGTGGGTGCTCAGCTTCCTGCTGCTGGGTGAGTGGGGCCATGGGGGCTGTAGGGCCGGGCGTGCGCTCACTCACCCACCCCATCCCACAGGCCCCATCACCCTGGTGCTGCTGCTCTACCTGGTGTTCACCCGCTTCTGGCCCATCTCTGCTCTCTACCTGGCCTGGGTCATCTTTGACTGGGACACACCAGAGAAAGGTTCGATGGGATGGGATGGGATGGGATGGGATGGGATGGGATGGGATGGGATGGGATGGGATGGGGCACCCTATGGACACTCCATTTCTCTGGGTCTGCCCAAAGCAATGCCACATCTTCCTCCTTCTACCTACAAATGGCAGCAAGAGGGATGCAGCCCTCTGTCTGCTGGGATGGGCTCTCATGACTCCATTCCTGTCTCACTTGCAGGCGGCAGGAGGCTGCCATGCTTGAGGAGGTGGTCTGTGTGGAGGCATTTTCGGGATTATTTTCCTGTGAAGGTGAGGAGCGGGGTATGGTGTGGGGGTGATAACACAAACAGCTGTGGCACCATCCCAAAGGATCTGCCGTGCTCTCTAAGCAGTTCCCATGACTATGAACCAGACGGGAGCAGTGCTGTTATTCCAGGTGTCCCCAAGTCCTTGCCTGCAGCACACACTGCTACCACAGAGCCCTGTCAGTCCCCTCTGTGCCCACAGCCCTCTGTCCCTGCAGTTGGTGAAGACACACGACCTGTCCCCCGGCCACAACTACATCATTGGTTCCCACCCCCACGGCATCCTCTGCGTCGGCGCCTTCTGCAACTTCATCACAGGCTCCACCGGCTTCTCTGAGCTGTTCCCAGGCATCCGGCCCTTCCTCACCACACTGGCTGGCAACTTCCGCCTGCCCCTCTTCAGGGAGTACCTCATGAGTGGGGGTGAGTGGTGCGGGGTCGGGGTGGGGGTCCGGTGCCTGCATCCCTGCTTCCAGCCATGACCTCTGGTCCCCAGCTGTGCCCAGTGGCTGCGCTCCCAAGGAGCGGGCAGGGCATGGGCTGAGACTACCTGCACCTGTGCACGCTTTGCCTGCAACCTTTGTGCACCTTGTTTGCATCCTGCACGTATCTTTTTTGCAGTGTTTACATCCTCTGACATCTTGGTTGCATTCTGATTGCACCTGTGTGCATCCTATTCTTACCTCCTCTTGTGTTGTTTGCACCATCTGCAAACCTCACTTACATCCTGCTCGCATCCTGTGTGCTCCTGATCTGTGCTGTCTGCACCTTATGCACACCCTGTGCACACCTGTGAGCACCTTGTTTGCATGCTCTGCACACCCTGCTTGCACCCGTGCCCAGATTTTTGCACTCTTCTGAACCCCTCCACGTCTTGCTTGCACCCGTGCACACCCTGCCTGCACCCCATGTGCACCTTTTTTGCACTATTTCACTCTGCGCTCTGTGCTCACATCCCACCTGCAGCCCTGCTGTCCCCATTCTGTCCCTTCCAGACATGATCCCTAGCAGGGTCCTTGGCACAGTTTCCCCCCACCCTACAGACTGCATTTCTCCTGCCATAGGCCTGTGCCCAGTGACACGCCGTGCCATCGGCCACCTGCTCTCCAACAACGGCACCGGCAACGCCGTGGCCATCGTCATTGGAGGAGCAGCTGAGTCCCTCTCCTGCAGCCCCGGTGTCACCACGCTCATCCTGAAGAACCGTAAAGGCTTCGTCCGCATGGCCCTGCAGCACGGGTGAGTGTGGGAGCACTGGGAGGGCACCATGTGAGAGGCACGGGGTCCCAGCACACCCCCTCAATGCCACCATGTGCCCCCGCAGCGCCTTCCTCGTGCCCTCCTTCTCCTTCGGAGAGAACGAGCTGTTCCGCCAGGTGGTGTTTGAGGAGGGCAGCTGGATGCGGGCCGTGCAGCAGCGCTTCCAGAAGATGATGGGTTTTGCTCCCTGCGTTTTCTATGGCCGTGGCCTCACCTCGGTGCACTCGCGGGGCTTCCTGCCCTACGCCCGGCCCATCACCACCGTGGGTGAGCGGCTACAAGGGGAGGAGGAGGGTGTCTATTTGACACCGGGAGGTGGAACTCGGTTCACGTCCCACCAAGCTCAGTGCTGCCCTGTGATGGCTTCCCTTCCCGCAGTGGGGGAGCCAGTGACGGTGCCCAAGATCGAGGAGCCGAGCAGCGAGGTGGTGGATCTGTACCACGGCATGTACGTGCGCTCCCTGCTCAAGCTCTTCAATGACAACAAGACCAAGTACGGGCTGTCAGAAGGGGATGAGCTGCGCATCGTGTGAGTGCTGTGGGCATGGGGACGTGTGGCTGACAAGGCCCTGCTGCTCCCCCTCCTCCTCCTCTTCCTCTCCTGGCACCCAAAGGCTGGTGGAGACCCCAGAGGTGCTGCCTCCAGGATTGCAGTGATGGGCACGGCCCCATACAGTCACCATGAGCAGAAGGAGGGCGTAGGGTGTCGTGAGGAAGAGGAGGGAGGTCGTAGATTTGCATCCCCAAGGCCGGGCAGGGGAGGTGTTCCCCCCTTGGAGCAGGGGGAGGGACACTCAGACACAGGAACCGGTGACAGTGGCCTCGACGTGGTTGTTGGGTGATATCTGTCATACAAATTTCCATCCCCTCACCGTGTCCTGAGTGTGCTTTGGGGTGCTCGATCGATCGGGGCACAGCATGGGGGTGGGTGGATGGGGTTTGGTGGCACTGCAAGTAATGGCAACACAGTGCCAGTGCTCTGGATCTCCTTCCCCAGGCATGGGCTGGGTGTGCACTGAGGGGCAGGGACGGCCCCATGTAGGGGCTGACGCGAGATGCAGCTGATAAGCATCTCCAGGCTGCTTGTCTTTACGCAGATCCACAGTTAAACATAACTGGGTAAATATTTACAGAGGAAACACCCATAAAGGCAGATTCTCCTACAGGCCTTCACCACCCATCTCTTGTCATCCCGGTGCCACCCTCCCCATCCCATGGCCCCAAGCTTGCCCCAGATTATGTCGTAGTATGAAGGGGCTTCGCTACTGTACCCTCACCACGAATATGTCCTCCCTCTTCCTCCTGATACAGGGAGGACCAGTTTGGCATGTGGAAAAGGGAAAAGTGCTTTATTGGGGTCCATTAGCAGCACAGCCCTTCACCGCCTCCCCCAGGATGCTTTGGGGGACATCTCTGAAATGTGGCTCCATGCCCATCCCCCAAGTGTCCCCACCCTGAGGACAGTGCAGGGCATTGCAGCAGGAGACTGAGCCCTCAGTGCTGGCGGCACTGGACTGAGTGACAAAGTCTCAGTGGAGACCCTGGCCAGGACCACGACCATTCCTGCTGTCCCCACGTATCACCACCTGACACAGAGCTGCTCCTCCACTGTCCCTAATGTCAGTCCGTTCACTGTGCTCTATGGTCAAGCACTCTGTGCATGCCTGGGGAGGGACAAATGTTTTCTTAGTGACCTGGGATGCACCCCATGGCCACCCTCCCTCAGACCCATGGTCAGTGCTTCAGACAGGTTTGTGGGACCAGGGCTTCCGTGCTGTGTCTCACTTCACTTCTCACTGCCCACCTCTGCTCCACGCTGTCCCTCCCTCGACTCTCACTTTTGCAGCAACTGCCAACCACACTGCTGTCCACGGAGGGGGACACGAGGGCCAGCAGGGAAGTGGGCACAGGCTGGGGCCGCTGGGCTGCCCCCCGGCGCAGCCGTCCCCGGTACTTGTCCCCAGCCATGAAGTACAGAATGGGGTCCAGGCAGCTGTTGATGCTGGCCAGGGGTCGCGTGATCTTGTAGGTGAAGTTGATGATGTTGAGGGTCTGGCAGTCAGCTTGGAAGTAGCGAGAGGTGTAGTAGAGGGTCCGGGTGATGTGGAAGGGCACGAAGCAAATGGCGAAGACGGTGAGCACGATGATGATCATCTTGATGGAGCGCTTCTTGTAGGAGGGCATGCGGGGGCTGGGGCTGGGGAAGCTGCGCTTGCAGAGCCTCTTGGCCATCAGGCAGTAGCACACAACAATCACCAGGAAGGGAATACCGAAGAGGAGGGCCATGACGGAGGAGCTGTAGTGCACGTAATTGTCGAACTCCTCGGGTTTGGTGGTGTCATGGCAAAGGGTGGTGTTGTCCTTGGAGCTGGTGGTGACGAAGATGAGGTTGGGGATGAGGCAGATGGTGACAACCAGCCAGACACCCACGCAGATGAGCCGCGCGTGTTTGGTCTTCACCCACTTGAGGGAGCGGATGGGGTGGCAGATGCCCAAGTAGCGGTGGACGCTGATGCACGTCAGGAAGAGGATGCTGCTGTAGAGGTTGGCGTAGAAGAGGAAGCGCACGATCTTGCAGAGCACCATCCCGAAGGGCCAGTTGTTGCGGTCAGCGTAATAGTAGACCAGGGTTGGGAGGGAGAAGACATAGAGTGTGTCAGAGATAGCCAGGTTGAACATGTAAGTGGTGGTGGCATTCCAAGGCCTCATCCTGGAGACAAAAATCCACACGGCCCAAGAATTGAGGGGCAGACCCACCACGAAGACGATGCCGTAGGAGATGGGCAGCAGGATGAACTTGAACTCCTCGTTGAAGACGCACTTTGCCTCCGCAGCAGCGGTTGTATTCCCTTCCAGCCAGGGGGTCGGCGTCGGCGTCCACGGGGCAAGTGAGAACATCCTCACCGGAGCGTCCATGTTCTCCCAGCCAGAGCTGCGGGAGCAGTTAATAAAAACACATTAGCTGTTGATCCCGACCATTGTCAGGCACAAAGCGGGGCAGGCGGCCAAAGATGCCAGATTTTCCCCCCCTCCAGGAGCTCCGGCCACTTTGATGCTTCTCTGTTTTTTCTCAGCTCTTGGGTTTGGGCTTGACACGTCCTCCCCTCCGGAGCCCTCCCAGTGACACCCGCGGATCGTAGCTCGGAGCAGCGCGCCGTGACACCGCGTGGAGCCGGGCAGGGTGCCCAGGGCCAGCCAGCAGACCCGCGGCGCAGCAAACAATGAAACCTTGATCAGCAACAGCAGCTCCTGCACGGTGCCAGCGCAGCCTCTTGGAAGCCGGCTCAGCCTAATTGGCACCGCCGTGACAATGCCGCCAGTCCCAGAGGGGTCCTCCCCAGAAGAAAGGCGGGAGGAGAAGAAAGGATTGTCTGGAGGGGTACGATGGCCCTGAGAAATCCTCGGGGGGCTGTTAGGGGAGCCTTTGGGAGGGCATTCCTGGGAGTGAGGGGCTTCCAGCTGCCGGCTCTCCTCCCCAGGAGAGCAATGAGTTCAGCTGCACAGAGAGGAGCTGCTCCTGTGCCAAACCCCAGCCCGACACAGCGCGAGTTCGAAGCCATCGGGACATTTCCCCCTTTGCACATTGTTTGGATCAAAGGCCAGGATTCTCATCATCCCAGCAAATTGGTCCCCGGGGGTGAAAAGCGAGGGCAAGCTGTAAAACGGTTGCACTCGCCTTTGGAGATGTCTAAAGTTCAGCACCCGCTGCTCCAGCAGACACGGGGCAGCCGCCCTGGGCAGGGGTTGGCTGCACTAAAAGCCTCCCCTGTGCTTAAAGTCAGCGCGGGCTGCTGGTGGTGGGAAGGGCTCACAGAAGGCAGTGCTGATCTACAGGTGGGCACCGGGATGGAGCAGAGCTCGGCTCAGGGAGGTGATGCAGGATGCTGGTTTGGGAGGGGTGAGAAGAAAGCTGTGCCACCCCATGCTCCTGTCCCCCCATCCCCTTTACCGCTTTCCTTCGCAGTGAGCACAGCTGGCAGGGCTTCTCCCCAGGGCACATCCGTGGCTCCGTTAAGCCATCATCCCGCAGAGGCACCCCACTGTTTGCAGAGATGATCATAAAGTAACGAATGACACCAGGACCAGGCACCAGCTCCGCTCGTAGCCCAGCAATTTGTTTGAGTTCTGGGCTGAGCTCAGCTTTGGGCCCAAACCCAGCACCCCTTCCTGCTGTGAACGGCTTAATGACCGGATGAGTTCAGAGAGCAAGAGGCAGGCCCTGATCAAACATTAACAGCGGGACCTCGCTCTGCTCTCCTTGTAGGGACTGGGAATACCAATGGGGGCAGCAGGAACAGGAGGTCCGTTCTCCTCTCCCACCCTCTGAGGATGGCAGATCAGCACAGCACAAAGCCCTGTAAGAGCGGCGGTGCTTCAGGTTGCGGCCACCGCTGCCAATCTCTGCAAAGCTGCCGACAAACGAGGATGATCTGAATAATCCAATTAAAAAAAAAAAAAAGAAAAGACATCTGATGTAAGAAACTCACAAAGAAAATGCGGTGCCGGATAGCTCAGGGCAGAGGGCAGGTGATAAAACAGGTGAAACCTGAGGCCGGCTGCAAGCGGCAGCGTGATTTGGCTGCTCCTGAGCAAGCTGCCTTCAGGAAAACCACTGACAAACAGAAATGCAAAAGAAGATGACATCTGACAATCTTGATCGCAGCACTCGGAGTTTCCTACTTCCTCATCTTACTCACGATCAAAGGCAGTGGTTTAAAGGGCTCTGATTTACGCCCATCCACCCCGAGGACACGTCACTGCTGTTTGTGTTCCTCGAGCATGGCCCCAGTGAGGCTCTTGCAGCCACTGCTTTCTCTGTGCACTTTTCTGGATGGACCACCTGCAGCGGTGAGGCTCTGAGCCCAGCTGGGAGCTGGCAGGGGATGACGCAGGGCCGGGGAAGTGATGCTCAGTTCTGCCCTGCCCCTTTTGTGGATGCACAGGGCTGTGGTGTGGGGACTAATATTTCCCCTCGCTGTGAGTGCAGCTGGTGGCACACAGGGATGATGGCCAGAGAGAGAAGGGGGCTGGGGACAACCTCAGGGCACGAATCTGGACCATGTGCTGCCCTTTGAAGATGGGGCACGGAACAGACTGCAGAGGGGAACTTGGCTGGGTGAGCCAAAGGGGCTCGGGGAAAACACAGGGCTTTTCTTCTCTCTTAAACCCTTGGAAATTGCAAAACAAGGGGAAATTGTGCAAAACATCCTGCAGAAGACCCTTGTCCCTAATCGCCACGTGGTGAGCCCAGCCAAAGCCCTGGCACCAGGGGAGCGTGACCTGATTTCTCTGAGCTCCCTTTTGCTTGCCTGAGCTCCGTCCTTCCTGGGGCTGGCAGTGGTGCTGGTGCTGTGCAGTACCCCACTGCAGCCTGCCCAGGTGCCCCCAGGTGTCAGCAGGATGGAGGTGACAGCCTTTTCATCCTCAAGTGTTCTGTTCAGCCCTTCCACTGCGCCAGGTTTGCAACACCGAGCAGAGCTGCAGCAGCCACAGGGCCAGCTTTGTCTTCAAAGGAGATGGCATTTGGGGGCTGCAGAGGACGAAGGAGGGGAGGTGGCTGCCCCATGACATATAAAGGTTTTTGGTGGTAGAGGTTCGCAGTGGTGTGATTGTAAGGAGAAATTCAGGGATGGACTGACCCCACCCTCCCCCCATCCCAATCCTACACCCCCTGGAGGTCACTGCCAATCTTCTCAGGGCCAAAGCTTCGTCTCCAGAACCCCCATGCCTGGCTAGGTTTGTACAGTCGTCACATCACAGTGGGACCATCCCAGCTGCTGCCCTCCCCAAGACCCCCACCTCACCTCCGCTCCAGGGATGGGGTGACTCTCATCTGCGGGGCTCCCCCAGGGAACACCCGTCCCCCATAGGGCCCAGGGCCATGCCGCCGTGCCCGGCCGGCCCGCGTCGTGCCTGCTCGTGCTCTTCCACGCTGGGAGCAAAGTGCCTGGGAGAGGCAGGGCTGGAGGTGGGCGGAGGCGGGGGCAGGAACCCGCTGCTCGCTGCGCGCCGTGCCGGCGTCCCTGCCTGCCCCGCGGGCCGCTGCGGGGCTCAGCGCTGCTGCGCTGCCGTCCTGCCCTGCCCTGCGCCCGTGCAGCCTTCGGACTGGATGCAGCCCCCGAGATGCGAGATGTGAGATGTGTGCGTTTCCCTCTCGGTTACTGGGGACCTCAGCCCCACGGCTGCGGTCTGCCACTCACGGGCACCGCGTCCCATTTGTCCGTGGGCGCCATATGCTCTCACCCACGGGATCGCGGCGCCTTGCAGATGGGAACCGGCCGCGATCCCGTGAGTGAGAGCATTCTTCTCCCTTGGGGACCAAGCGCCCTCAACCCGGGGACTCCGGCCTTTCTCCTTCGGGGGCAGGATGGCACCGCAGCCCTGCGAGGCTCTCCTGGGGAGAAAGGCGGCCACTGCCACCTTGAGGCCGGCCCGGGCATCGTGTCCCCAAAGCGGGCAGCAGCAGCAGCCTGCGGTTCGGCAGCACGCAAATGCGTGCCGGGTCTCCCCGTGGCTTGGCAGAGCAGACGTCTGTCCTCAGTGTGTGTACGTGCACAGTTCAGCGTCTTCCAGACCCTGAGACTTTATTCTGGGTGATAACAGCGCAGTGCACCCCAAAGGACGCAACCTCAGGAGCAGCTGCTGCACAGCTCCTTGGGGAACTGCCCTGCCAGGGTGTGCAGGGCCTCAAGGACCAAAAGTCCAGCGGTCCCTTTGTCCTGAGGGGCCTCAATGTGTCCTGTGCCCCCTCCTGCTGGTAGGGATCAGCAAGGTCTTTGCATTGCTTTGAGGAGGGCCATGGAAACACACAGTGACGCCCTGAGAGCATCCATCTGACGTCCATAGGAACTTCATGAGACTTCCCAGCAGAGGCACAGCAGTCACTCACTCCACATCAGGGTGCTGGCCACGGTCAGGTGAGATGCCAACAGAGTCGGCAAGGGAACAACTATGGGACATCTCCAGTCTCATATGCGCAGGTTTAGGTGTTGGGTTTGGGGTGGGCTCAGTGCTGCTGGCTCCCTAAGGGGCTCCCATGCACTTTTACGTGGTGCAGGGACGTGTGCAGGGCTGAGCACCCCAGCTCCCAGCACGTCTTGCTCAGTGCCATCCCTGCACATACAGCAAAAGACCCTTTTGCCAATAAGTGGGGACCCCCTGGGTGTCCATGAAGATATGGGGACACACAGTGGGTCTGTCTCCCCAGCCTCCTGTACCCTGCATGGAGGGGTTCACCTCTCATCTTCCCCCAGGCGCAGGGCTCTACTGGGGACCCTGGGGACAGCAGTGCTGCCCTGCTCCATGCCTGCTGCTGCCAGCTCCAGGGCTGGGGGGTACCTGAAGACTTCAGTGCCGTCCCAGCCATGTGCACACAGCCCCTCCTCACGCTGCTGCAATCCAACGTGGCCTGGCCCAGCACCAGCACTGCAGGACCTGTCACAGCACCACTGGGGAAAGAAGAACAAGGGAAGGCTTCAGCCCCGTGACAGCAGAAATGCCCACCTTTGTGTCCCCACCCTGCATGAACCGTGCACCCCAGCACCGCCACCCCTCAGCCATCCACACCCCATTGGTGTCTCTACAAAGGGACACCTTTGTAGGTGCTTCTGGGGGTGGTCCTGCTTCTGGGGGTGGCCCCTGAGCCAAAAGCACATCCCACGGTTGTACCTCTCTGTGGTGGCCATGCTGGTAAGCGCTCACTCCATGCCCCGGCACCCGCCGGCAGCGTGGTGGGGGTGGCTGAGGGGCACTGTGGCTCTGGTGCAGCAGCATTTGGTGGCCATGCCCTTCATCCCTGGGGAGCATGCGGTCCAACTGGCTCAGGTCGGTGGCCATGTGCAGCACTGTCAGAGAGCAGTCGCCACCCTCCGGCACATCCCTCGCCAGGACAGCCGATTTGGGGCGCTTCTGCCTGCCCACACCAGGAGGGCTCAGCAGGGACCTGCAGGGTGAGGGCAAAGGGGTCCGTGCCTGGGGGGGACCCCACACGGGGCTGTCCTCCTGTGTGTCAGCACCCAAAGCCCACGTGGCAGGCAGTCCCTCAAAGATGAAGTAGGCCGGGTTGGTGTAGCTGCTGGTCACCTCTGGGAGGCTGCGGGGACGGCTCCTGCAGGGCACAGCATCACCAGGCTCAGCGTCACCTGGGGATGGGGCACGAGGATGGACCCCAGCCTGAGGGGGTACCTGAGGAGCGGCTTGGGGCACAGCGGGGAGTCCTCTGCTGGAGCATCCTCCTCCTCCTCAAAGCTGATCCACTCTGCAGAGCACAGAAGTGTCACTTCTCCCCACTTGGGCACATGGCAGCAGTGGGGTGGCACGGTGGCACCTTACCGTAGAGCCTCTCGCGGGTGCTGCGCCTGTCCTTGGGGACACGGACCTTCATCCGGCCCCGCATGGAGCCTGTCTCCTCGCCGTGGTGGAAGAGGAAGGTCTCAAACTGCTGGGCCATGCTGCCGATCATGGATCGCATCGCGATGCAGCACTCGCCTGCACACGAAGCACGGTGAGCCCCACACCCAGCAGCACCCTGCCCGCGTCCCCCTCCCATGCGCACCGTACGACTCGCAGCTCTCCACGCCCTTGATGCTGAGGAGCAGGTGCTGGTCACCCAGGTACTCCACGTCGGGCAGGATGGGGTTCAGCTGCACGAAGTGAGAGGGGCAGGGCGGTAAGGAGCGCCTCTGTCCTCGGGGGATGATCACAGCACGCAGGGTGGGAGGGACGGGAACGAGGAGGCGGGAGGATGCTGAGCCCTCCCCGCTGTGCTGTGCGTACCACGGGCAGCTGCTTTGCTGACCAGCACATCCTCAGGAAGCCGGGGACGTCGCAGTTCTGCGAGGTGTTCTCCCCACTGCGCTGTGCCTCTGCCAGGGGAGAGCCATGGGGACAGCTCCAGCCCCATGCCAGGCACCGAGCCCCCCTGCTCAGCACTGCAGCCGCAGGGCACCTCACCCTCCAGGCAGTAGGAGTGGAACTCGATGTAGCACTTGCTGCGGCTGGCAGTTTTGACGATCACCTCGATGCTGTCCCACTCGATGCAGGCCAGGGGCTCGGGGCCAGTGCCAGGAGCTGCAGGACATGGGGGTTCTCAATGGGGGCCGAACCCCAGTGGGGGTCAGACCCTATCCCCTTGTCCTTACCCTTCTTAGGCACAAACTGCGATGTCACACCCACCTCAAAGGTGGCAAAGACGGGCGAGTGGTCACTGGTGACGATGTCATCAGTGCAGCCTGGCATGGGGAGAGGCAGCTGATGGGCTGCCAGAGCCGTGAGACTGCATGGGGCTCAGCCCCATCCCCAGGTGCCACTCACCATAGGAGCTGCAGACCAGGTGGGTCTCTGGGAGAGACTTCCAGAGGATGCGGTCACACCATGAGGGGACATTGATCCTCATCTAGGAAGGAGAAAAGCGACCGCTATAGGTGTCCTCTTAGGGTCAGGATGTTTTCTCCTAGCCTGCTTCTTCCTCGCCACCAAGAAAATGTATAGAGTGGCCCTAAAGCTTCACCTCCCCCCAGGGGAAGGCTGAGCACCCTGTCTAGCACCATCTGTCCCACTGTCCCCATCCCCTATCTGTGTCCACATCCCGGTGATGTAGGAACTCACCCCTGTGGTCTTGAACTTCTGCCACATGTAGTTGTCCCGGGAGCCCCGCTCATACCGGTAGGTGGGTGGGAAGGAGATGTCACCCTCTCCTGGGAACCGAGACACACAGATGACATGAAGCCAGCATCTCCAACTGTCTTCAGAGGTGCAAACTGCTCCAATGGGGTCAGGTCCTGAGTTTCCCCATGCCCACATGCTCCCAGCTGTGGGGACACTGCCCAGGAGGGGCTCGTGATGCGCATGACTTTCCCCAGGTTTTTGGCAGCTCGCACAGAGCCGTGCAGGGACACAGTGCTGGAGGTGGCACTGGCAGAGAGCTGGAAGTCCCTGGCTTCCACTGGGAAGGCAGCAAGCAGCCCAGCAGCCCCACACTCACGGAACTGCAGGAACACCTTGTTCTTCTCCCGCTCCATGTTGAGTTGGTCCATGGCTAGGAGGATGTCAAACTCCTTCTTAGTGACATGGGTCAGGACGTCCTGAGCAGGCACAGGAGGAGCAGTGAGCACTGGCGCTGACACCCTGAGCCCAGCTCCCCACAGATGCACACCTGCACATCCATATCCAGGCGGTAGTTGAGGTCCCCGAACCAGAAGAGGTGGGTGAAGCGCAGCGTGAGGTCGAAGGCGCTGAGCCGTTTGTCGCCCAGTGCCAGCGAGCGCAGGATGTCACTGTAGTTCTGGTTCCGCCTGTGCCGTGTAGAGGGGATGGCAGCCACGTGTCAACCACTGCGGGGTATCGTGGGGCCACCCCTTGCCCCTGAGGCAGGAGGGGGATGGGGTAACCCCACACCAGCCCACGGCGTCCCCATCACCTGTGGGTCTTCTCGCTGCCCGAGGCCAAATGGCAGTTGACAAAACCGAAGGAAGTCCCGTTGAAAAGAAAGGAGACACCCACAGCCCCCTTGTTCCCTGTGGGGACACCGAGCTCAGGGGCGTGGAGGTGCCCTGGGGCAGCCCCCCCAGCTCAGTATCCCCATCTCTTCCTTACCCAGAGTGTTGGCAATCCCTGTTTTGACGCTGGAGGTGTGGACGTGGCTGATGCGCCGCTCGTGCTCTGGCTTCACCAGCACCACCATCTTGATGCTCCAGAGGCACTGCAGGGCCACCTGCGGGACGGGGCAGTCAGCCCACCTCCCACATTGCAGGAAGGCAAAGCATCCCCAGAAGTTGGTCATTACCACTCGGTAGTCGATGGCCATCAGCGTCTTCAGGGACGCGCGCAGGAACTCGACCCACTCGCGGTCACCCAGGGAGTTCTCCTGTGTGCCGATGACGTAGATGTCGTGTGGGATGCAGGCAGTGGTCTCGTCCTGTGTGTGTCCCAGGCCCCTCGAGGTCAGCCAGGACGCCAGGGAGCGGGGTGGTGGTGTGCTGCCTGGGGATGGGGACAGCAAGTGACTGCCTCGCACCCTCCTCCACCCCAGTACCTGCTGGGGATGGGAAGCATCACACCAGCACCGTGGTCCACCCATGCCCATCTCAGACCTGCATAGCCCTCCAGGTACTCATGTCTCCAACAGCAATGGGGCAAGCAAACTCCAAACCACGAATGGCCATGATGGGGACTTCTACAGCCTCTCCCTCCCACTGAGGACCAGCTCACACCTCGCCTGTCCTAAGGCAGCTCCCTGCAGACCCTTCCGAACCGTCCCAGGTTTGCAGTGGGCTGTGAAGATCCCCCAGGATGACATGACCTCATGGAGGTCACTTACCCATGTTCCACGTCCCGACATAAACCGAGATGAGGTCAGGTTCATCCAGGTTGGAGTGTTGGATCTTCATCAGCTGCAGCAGCTGGCAGAAGGCTTCTCGCTTCTGGGAGCAACGCAGGGGGCTCAGGGCATACAGGGCTCAGGGCTGGACCCAGGTATAGGAGAGCACAGAAGCCTCAAAAGCAGACAGGATCAGGGGGATAAGAGCACCCAGGTGCCAGAGCTGACAGAGGGCTGGCCTTGACCTCAAGAGCACCTATTCCCTGCATGGCTAAATAATGGCTGTGTGCTCCCAAAACAGCCTCTCTGAGGAGGTGGGGGGAGAGAGGCTGGGGACATCACCCCACAAAGCCACCCGCATTTCTCACCTTTGCACTGGGAAAGATGAAGTCCTTGCTCAGGCTCCTCTGCAGGTCACGATTGTATACCAGCCTCACCTTGCTCTGCACGCTCTGGTACTTGATTAGCTGCAGGACTGAATGTGGGGCATGAGGGGTACAGGGGGACATCCTGTGTGACAGCACATGGCATGGGACAGAGCTCGGTGTGCGGCCCATGCCATGGAGTCAGGCCCAGCCCAGCAAATGCCTCGTGCAGAGAACTGGGGGGCAGCATCCACTTACTTTTGTCCTGCGGGATGACCTCCTCTGGGGACCCACTGCCCCTCTTGGTGATGCTCACTGTGCCCTCCTCCACATCCACAGTCAGGGCTGCGCGCTGCGACTTGCCCACCTTCACCTGCAGCATGGACGGGGGGGTACCTGGGTCAGCCCCCACCCATGGGTGACAAAGATACCGGGGCCACACTGTGTCCCCTATCCTCACCTCGAAGCACTGCGTGGCCATGGGCTTGGTGTCTGGAGGCAGGGCTGCAGGGCTGGGCAGTGCCAGGTTGTGTCGTGACACCGTGTCCTGCAGTGACACGAGGACCTGCCAGCAGGAGGAGTGAGAGATGGGGACATGGTGGGTGACAGCCTGGGGGTGGCTGAGGTACCCAGATTGGAGAGATGCTGTCACTGGGAGTATGGGGTAAGGGGCCCTACGCATGGGGAAAGGCCAGGGGTGCGTGGCTGTGCAGCTGAGCAGCAATGTGCTGGAGGGATTAAATAGCTGACCAGTTGGCCAAGCACAGCAAGGAGCTGGCAGCATGTGGGCACCTTCTTCTCCAGTGATGAGAGCAGGTGGTTGACAGCTGAGATCTTGCTGAGGAGCAGCTCCAGGTCAGGATTGCTGGCCAGGAAACCCTGGAGAAGAGGACTGGTGCTGGTGTTGTGTTCAGGTGTGCCCAAGGCTGGCAGGGACCTGCTGCCCCCTCCTGCACCGGGAGCACATAACTCCTTGTCCCCAGTGGGGACCTCATCCCCTCCTTTGTGCTCAGAGAGCACCACAAGGCGTGCAGCACCCTCAGACACCAAAACCACCCATAGCCCCTGGAGTGGGATGAGCCTGCAGGGCTCACCTGCTCTCTGGCCAGACTGCGTGGGGACACAGGAGGCTCGAACACTCTGGCCAGAGTCTCCAGCCCCGCCAGCGTGAAGTCGATCTCACTGCAGAGAGACAGAGGAGCATGAGAGCTGGAGATGCACAGGGACAGGGACAAGCAGGCGGTCCCTCAGCCCTGCCCTCCTCCTGCCATCCTGCGCCACTCACCTGTGCAGCCCCCGGCAGGCGGTGACGAGAGCAGCACTGAGATGGCGCAGATGCGGGTGCCCACTGTGCAGTGCAGCCAGGTCCAGTGGTAGGTGCTGTGTCAGGTAGTCAGCCATGAAGCCCATGAAGTCACTGGATGGGCTGTAAGGGGGGGCAGTGGCTGGGAACGGAGGTACCCAGGCTCAGAGAGGTGCCAGCCTCAGCTCGGGATTTGCAAACCACAGGGAAAGGCATCTTGTGCCCTGCTCCAGCTCCAGCATGAGCAGGGCTGGATGTGGGCAGCCACCCTTAAGGGCATCCTCTTGGTCTTGCATTTTTGGGATGTGCCACTTCCATCCTGCTATGCTGTGCCCACCCCGGTGCATTACCTGCTGTGGATCTGCTCCTGAAGCCTCAGCTGCAGCTGCTGTGAGATGTGGGGACGGGTGGGGGGAGCACCAGGCCCTGTGCTCTCTGCATTAACCCTGGTGGGCACCATGCTGCCAACATGGCCACCTCTTCCATCTTCTCCATCTGCAGGCAAAGATCCCAGCTCAGTGCCATCACCTCTCTGCCGGCAGCCCCAACCCTTTGCCCCCATGCCCTCACCAGAGTCCTCATCAGCTGCTTCCCGGAGCTGGTGCACAGGGTAGAGCAGCGGTGTCACCAACCCATTGTTGGGCTGCTGGTAGGCGCTGATCAGCTCAGGGAGGCTGCGGAAGTACTTGGCCTGGATACCCTGTATGGTCTGGGGGGGGCAGAGGGGACGGTGGCCACCATGTACCCCATCCACAAGCCAGGTGCCTCCAGCCAGGTTCATTGTGGGCAATGGGGGATGCGCTGCAGGCTCTCACAGCAGGGATAGCAGCAGACAGGAGACAGCATTTTCACAAAGCCTCCCCCAGGAGCAGCAGCAGTGGGGCTGCCCAAGTGGCATCGCTCCCAGGCTGCTGCGCTGCAGAAAGGGTCGGTGCAGAGCTCACACATCCTGTGCTGTTGCATTTATGCAAAAAGCAAACCGCACCGCTCACCACGTGCGGGAAGCTGCAGGCTGCACCTCGCCGTGTGCTGTGCAGAAGTTGGAGGTGGGGGTGAATGCTCCCCTTCCCTGTGCACTGCTTCCTGCACTCACCTGGACGGAGAGCAGCCCCTCATCGTTGGGCAGGATGCGGTAGGTGTGGACGTGCCGCTGGAACCTACAGGAGAGCAGAGCATCTGCACCCTGTGCACTTTGCAGGTAGAGGAACTGAGCTCCTGCTTCAGGTAATGAAGCTGTCACCTTGTGCCTGCCCCATAGCCCATGCTCCCCAGCACCATGTGTTTGCCATTTGCACCATGCACCTGGCCAGGAAAGCCATAGGGAACTGGGGGGCATCTTTCTAAACCCGCAGAAGCACTGTCCGTGCACCTCCAACACATCTGTGCAGTATGTCCCTCAGTTGTAGTGGAGGTCCACCTCAGCCCCAAGCCTGTGCCTCCAGCAGCAGCAGTGATTTAGGTGCTGGGGCTGCTCAAACTGGCAGCTGAGAAGTTAATAGCAGGCACTGTGGTCCGGATGCTGGCGCGCCAGAGGCTGGACGCAGAGGGGATGTTTGTATTCACACAGAGTGAGCTGTGCTGGCCGCTTCCTCCACCCCACGCAGGGGCCAGGCAAGCACCCAGATGCACCTGAATGCGAGCAGTCCCACAGGGCACAGCATGCTGACCCATGGATGTGGGGTGGGAGCTTTGCAGGGCCCCCCACCTCACACTGAGCTGGGCATCACCAAAAAAGCCCCATCACTGATTGCCGAGCAAAGCAGAAGTGGTGGCTGCACCCTGCACACATCCTTTTTGCTGTCGAATGATTTGCAACCCCAGCCCTGCCTTGCTGTCGCTCCGCTCCATCCCCCCCACCCTGCTGCAGGGACTGGGGATAAGAAAGAAGCCAAGTGCAGAAACAAGGCAGAACTCACAGGAGGCACAGGGCGTACGCCCCTGCGATGGACTCACTGTCCCGCACCAGGAAGCAGCCATCCCGCCCAGCCTTGGCCAGCAGCTCCTCGGCCACCACCCTGCTGATGTCCCGGTGGTACCAGCTTGCTGCTGCCATCCTCATGGGTAGCACAATGTCAGCTGCGCTGCTTTGTATCCCCCAGCCCACATGGGCTGATTGCCGTGGAAAGGGAAGGTGGGGGCCCGGAGGCTGTGGGTCCCGATGGGTGATGTGCAGCTCCTGCTCACAGGGTGCCCCGCATTGATCCCCCCAGCTGGGTGGTGCAGCAGGAGTGGGTCTGGGGGGGCTGTGGGGTGAAGCTGGGGGTCCGGGTGCTCTTCATCATGGGTGGCTGCAGCCTGCAGAGTGAAGGGGAGCACAGAGGGGCAGATCAGGGACCCGCGGCAGCATCACCCCACCAGCGTCCTGCCCTGCTGCACCACGAGCATGAGGCCACACGGACATCCCGGCAGCACGTGGGACCCCGTATGTCACCAGAAGTACTCACCCTCTCTCGCAGACATGGCACTGCACACCCTGTGCCCCCACCGTCCGTCCCCTGCAGCCAAGCCCACTTCTCACAGCCCCGCTCTGCACTGCTGCGCCTGCCCACACTCTTCCTCCTTAACGCTCTGCTCGCTCCACATCTGGGACAGCCTCCTCGCTCCTCCTCCCACTCCAGCCCTGCTGGCAGGAGGAAGCCGGCAGCCATGCTGGGCCCCGAGCGCAATGGGGGCTGCCCAAGCACCACCACCCTGCTGCCGTGCAATCCCAGACCCCACCCCACAGTTGTACCCAGCGGAGGGGATGGAGGGCTGCACAGCATCACTGTGCTGTGCTGGGGCTGGCAGTGATGGGGATGCCTGCACACGGGGGTACGGCTGCAATGTGGGGCTGAGCTCCAGCCGTGCAGAGATGGTGATGCTGTGGGCATTGGGTGGATGAGAAAAGTAGGTACCCAGTGCTGCATTCACTCATCCTGTTCAGGGATGCCCTGGCTTCAGGAAGAGGGGAAGCAATGGGCTCAGGGAGGGCGTGGGGACCATCACACTGAGGTTTTGCTCCTCGTGGCATGCAGTAAGCAGACCCCACGTGCCAAGAGCTGCGCGGGGCAGCTGCCAACAAGGCTGCGTTAGGGTGATTAGCACCACGGCACTGTTAATTACAGACAAGCTGCAGCCACCATCTGCTGCAGGAGAGATGGGATGGGGGCTTCACCACCCACGCCAGCCTGGTTCCTCCCTGCTTTTCGCACGATTTGCCCTGGGCAGTTTACAAGACCAGCACGTGGGCACTCCCTGCAGCAAGCAGCAGCAGGCACAAGGACATCCCCACCACCCTCTGCACAAACCTCTCCAAGGCATCCCCTGAGCTCCTGGCACCGAGGAGGAACCTGGTCACCTCAAGGGGCCACCACCTGGTTTGGGGATATCAGCTATGGGCTGGTGGCATTCCCATCCCTCAGCTGTCCCAAGCACAGCTGCATGGCATGGGGCAGTGACTGGGGACTCCACCACCTGGAGACCCCCTCCCACCAGTGCTGCTTTCAGCTGTTACTTAACCATTCCTGTGGCTGCGGGTCCGGCGGCAGGCAGGATTAGTGCTGACCACAGCACCTAATCCAGCTCAGGGCAGGAAGGCACGGCGCTGCCAGGGGCTTTGGGAAATCATTGCTGTCTGTCTGCCAGCCTGCCCTGCAGCAGGGTGTGCGTGAGTGGAGCAGCACACAGTGTGGGGACCTGCAGGTAAGGCTTCGTGCCATTCATCAAACAGGAGAAGGGCATCGCCCAGCAATCCAAACACGGGGCTGCGGACCCCGGTGTCCCATTGCCTGTGCTGCAGTCACACCGACGCGTGCAGGCACCCAGGTAAGGCTGCACCCAGACCTCCACCACTGGGAAGATCACAGTTCACGTGGCCTCTGCCCTTGGCAGAAATAGTGCCTGCTAATCTGCAGCGTAAGCAGCTCTGTGTGTGCAATTAAAGAGATCACAAGTCCTGGACCCGGTCAGCACGTGCTGGCAGCCGCAGCCCCGCACTGCTGTGTGCTCAGTGGGGTGGTTGTGGGGTGGTCCATCCCCACCTCCTGTGTGTGTGTCCCCACACTGCGGGACGGCAGTCCCCAACATGGACCCACTTGGTACTTCCCCAGTTTTCTTATTTGCAGCTGTGCACCCTGAATTAACAACATGTTAACCGGGTAAAGTGAGGCCAGCCTGCAGCGTTATGAAATGACCACTGGTGAGGGAGCAGCCCTCGTGGGTGTGTTCACACCATCATCTCGTGAACCACTGTTCCTGGGCCTTCTCTCTTTGGTTCCTATTCTCCCACCACCATGTGTCTGTGTGCTGAGGGCAGGACCAGGTGGCAGGGATGCACCCACCGCTCACTGCCCAGGGATTGATTCTGGGTCCTGAGGGGCTCAAGGTCCTTCCCAAGCTGTCCCATACCCATAGCAGGATTTAGGAGGTGCCTGGCCCCATCATGGCAGCCCCACAGAGTGCACGAGGGAGGAATCCAACCGGGAAGCCCCTTCCTTCCCTTCTGCTGATCCCATCCACCACCATGTGAGGACCTGCGCCCTGCCTGCACCCTGCCTGCCAGGCGCTTCCACCCCAATTATCATCACTTCACTCCTAAGCTTTACCAATCTCCATAATCTGCTTTCCCAGGGCTCCAGCCACCACCCCATTTATAGCCCACTCTTACTCACAAAGCATCTCCCTGGTTAAGAAACTAATAGGATTGCAGCCCCAAAATACCTCTCCCATAGTGCACACATGGCACACCCCCAGCCAAAGCCTGGTGGGCGAGATTCGGGGTGGGAGCAGGTGGCTATAAGAGGCCACAGAGCTGGGAGCAGCCGTGGTGAGCAGGTGGCAGCAGGACAAGCAGGAGAGGAAGAGGAGAAGGTGCATCCAACCCCAGGTGAGTGCTGCTGTGCTGAACAGGCAGGGATGTCAATGGCAGAGTGGTGGCTGGAAGGAGGGCAGTCTGCAGCTGGGTGGTTTTCAGTATGGGTGTAGGCATCCTTAGTGCAGGAGGACTTAGCCAAGCCAGGAATCCCAGTGCCCATTCTCGGAGCTCTGGCACACAAAGGAAGGCTTCAGCTCTTCTCTCCTTTCTGTCCTTTCATCCTCCCTTTCCCCATCATGCAAATCGTGCTCCCTCAGCACCTCAACCTGCTGCTCCCAAGGAATCCTGTGGATTAGGATGTCTGAGACCCACAGCCCACCTGAGGCCATTCCAGAGCCCGTGCTTGGGACTGACGCTTTGTTTTCCCATGGGGAAGAACATCATCATCTTCCCTCCACTCCCTCTCTATCGCCTTTTCCCTTCTCTCCACCATCACTGGTTACATAAAGGGGTGATTCTGCCCACGCGCTCCTGGGGCTTAAAATCTTGCCTGGCCTTAAGCCCAGCTAATGTCAGAGCTGCCTAAGTTTAAGAAGCAGAGCTCATCCCTCCTGATCTCCCCACAAATCAGCCAACAATCAGCGAGACATTTGCCGTTTAATTCTGGACGCTGATGTTGATCAAGCAAAAAGCAGCAGCCCCCAAGGGGAGCTCAGTCCTGTCCCACTGCTGGCCCTGAGGCTGTTGGTGAGTGTGGGATGGGGCTCTGAATGGCACTGGGCTCCCCTGCCCATGGTTTTCCTCACTGTCTTGTGAGTGAGCACAGTGAGTATGTTCCTCCTTGCAGGTGATGGCAGCAAATTCCCAGCAGCTGCAGTCTCCAGCAGCTCCATCACTGGGGTGAACCCCCAACCCCATAAGGTCCTGAGGGAGCAAGGCAGCTCTGGATGCAAATAGAGCATCTGAGCCCTGCTAAGCCTCCAGCCGTGCTGCTCACAGTGCCAACCCCCAGGAGGGCCATTGCCAAGGGTTCTGCAGAGCATTGGCACACGAACCATTGAGTCCCCATTGCTGGTGATGGCCAATGGGGCTCCCTTTCCCACCTCCAGCATTTCCCCCGTCTCTCCCTGCAGGTTCCTGGCTGTGTGGCACCTGACTTACAATGGCAGAAGGATCAAAGTAAGCCCGAATCCCAAGGCTGGGACATATCTGCCTGCCTGGGCACAGCTCCTGAGGATGCTCCTCTAGGGGGAGAGAGCAGCGCTGCCCCCAGCCTCATCACTGTTCTGTGCTTTTCCTGCAGGGTATTCAAGAAGACCAGTCCCAATGGGAAGGTGAGTCCATCAGGCACATGTGGGTCTGTCTCCAGTGCACATGAGCTGGTGGTGCCCAATGGTGAGGCTGCGGGGGCCTCAGTGAGGGGGACAGGGGATGCAGCCCAGGTTGCCATTCCCTTTGCAACCTCCTGCTTCCCCTATGCCTGCTATGGTGCCATCACTGGGGTCACTTTTCAAAACAAGTGTTTTAAGAAACACACACAATTCCTGCGATGCGATGCCTGCTCCTTCACACCAAACACCTGCAGCATCACAAAGCTCAGCACCCACTGACCTGATGTGTTGTTTCCATTTGCCATGGGCTCCTCCAGCTGTCCATCTACCTGGGGAAAAGGGACTTTGTGGACCACGTGGAGTCGGTGGATGCCGTGGGTGAGTGTGGTTCCCAGGGTGCAGTTGGTAGTGAGTGGCCTCAAACATCGCTCTGTGTGGAGGGAGGAGTGAGGGCAACTCCAGAGGAGCAAACACCTCATTTTCTTACAAATATCTTTAAAGCAGTACTTACAAAGCAAAATTCCTTTGCAAGTAAGCCCTGGGGGTGGAGATGCTGAAGGAAGGGTCACCATCCCCATGCAGGCAGCTCTCCTGGCCTCCTCCTAGCTGAGCATCTCACAAGGACCTTCCCTCTCTCCAGCACACCCAGTTCACCACCTCTTCTCTCCCGTTATTTGCAGATGGCGTCTGCCTCATCGACCCGGAGTACCTAAAGGACAGAAAAGGTATTAAGGCACAAAAACCCATGTTACGCAGGGCAGGGACGCAACCCCTGTAGGTAGCCATGCCTTGAAGAGATCTGATGAATCTCATTGACTTTATGTTTGGCGTCTGAGATCTGCTTTCAATGCCAATAAGCTACAAACACACCTTGTCTTTCTTTCCTCCTTTCCCAACCCTTCCCCTGCGCCTCTCCCTCCTCGCTCCCCTCCATTCTCACCCATGCTGGCCTCAGTCTATGTGACACTCACGTGCGCCTTTCGCTACGGCCGAGACGACCTGGATGTCATTGGACTGACCTTCAGGAAGGACCTCTACGTCCTGACCACTCAGATCTTCCCACCGGTGCCTGAGCAGGTGCCCAAAACCCTCACCTCTCTGCAGGAGAAGCTGCTGAAGAAGCTTGGTGAGAACGCCTACCCCTTCACCTTTGAGGTAAGGGTTGCTTGGTGCTTCCCAACCACGCATCTCAATGGGGATCATCCTTGGGCACGCTCTCTGTCTGCGCTTTATCTCTGTTCTGCCCAGATTGCCACCAACTTGCCCTGCTCGGTCACCCTCCAGCCGGGACCGGATGACGTGGGAAAGGTCAGATGCTGTCCCAGCCTGTCCCCAGGTTGTTTCTCTCTCATGGGGACAGGTTGGAAGGGATGGACAGCTGGAAGCAGGGCTGGGATCCGCAGGGATGTGGTGGGGGAAGTAGGGGAACAAATCTGAACCTCGTGCAGCTCAGAGCCTCTTTGTAACCCAACGTGTTCTCCCAGGCCTGTGGCGTGGACTTCGAGGTCAAAGGGTTTTGTGCTGAAAACCTGGAGGAGAAGATTCACAAGCGGTATATATTCCCCTCAAATAGAGGGGAACCCTCATCCATTTCCACTGCCCTGAAACTGAACAACTGAGCCATTTGGGGGTGATCACCTCCGGAGCTGAGACAAGGCTGCAATGCCTGCTTGTGTCATGCTTGGGTTGGGGACTTTGCCTAAAGGAAGGGTGACGGTCCCTATGCCTGTGTCCACCCCATCCTCAGAGCAGCCTGTAGACTGCAATGTTTGAATGGAGGAATTGAGGTGCCCCCATAGACAAGCTATGCGTGCCTAGGGAGGCCAGGGGGTGACAGCTTCTCGCCCTGCAGGAACTCAGTGCGCCTCATCATCCGCAAGATCCAGTTTGCACCTTTGAAGACAGGCCCAGGGCCCAAGTCAGAGACCACCCGGCAGTTCATGATGTCTGACAAGCCCCTGCACCTCGAGGCCACCCTGGAAAAGGAGGTCAGTGGGGGGCTGTTCCCAGCTCCTGCTACCATGTGTGTTCCCAGGGATGGGGACCGGGACTTCTTCAGCCCCAACCCCATTTGCTGGCCACGTAATTGAGCTTTTTCTGACTGCAGATCTACTACCATGGAGAACCCATCAACGTGACTGTCAATATCAACAACACCACCACCAAGATCGTGAAAAAAATTAAGATTGCAGGTGAGAGGAGTTGTCCCAGAACCCCCGTGTTGGGTTGGAGAGGGGGAATGTGGGCCTGGGTCTCTGCCACCATGCCAACGCTGCTCCCTCCTGTGTGCCTCCAGTTGATCAGATCACAGATGTGGTTCTCTATTCACTGGACAAATACTCAAAGACTGTGTGCATGGAGGAGATCAAGTGAGTAAAAAGGAGCTGGCAAACAGAGCTGGGGAGAGGAGGGAGGGGGAGAAAGAGAAGCTGGTGGCGATGATGGTTTTACACTGAGCAAGAACAAGGTTAGAAGTGCAGATGTGAGGAAGCGGAGGAGAGGGAAGGCTGCAGACACTGAGAGTCCAGCTTGAGCCTGGGGACGTCCCTGGGGAAAGGTGCACAGCTGCCCCCAGGCTGCTTCCTCTCCCCGTTTTGCATCTTGAGCCCAGCCGCAGTCAGACGAGGTCTCTGTGCTCCTGAAAAAGAGGAGTGACAGAGCAAAGATGGGAAGGCAGAAAAAAAGAAGTGGTTGTGGGAAGGAACAAAAGGAGGAAATGAGCCCAGGCAGCTGCAAGGGAGGGGAGGATGGGGTGGGAAGGACGTCACACTGGCACGATGCTGAGCACTGATCAGGGGGTGCTGGGTGCTGGCTCTGAGCTCTCCTCTCCCAACCCTTCTAGTGAGAATGTGGCAGCCAACTCCACCTTCTCCAAAACATACTCTGTCACCCCCACGCTCTCGACCAACCGGGAGAAGCGAGGCCTGGCTCTTGACGGCAAGCTCAAGCACGAGGACACCAACCTGGCCTCCACCACCATGTAAGAGCCTCTGCATCAGAGCAAATCTCAGCTCAGGCACCTCAAGTGGCCTCCAGAAGCTGTGGCCTCAGCCACTGATCACCCTTCCCTTCTCTCTGTCCGCCACGTTGCTTTGCAGTACAATCTAGTGCACCCCACATCAGTGCAATTGCTCTGGGGCTCATGAGGTTGGCTGCATGTCACAGCTCTGCTCTGCCTCTCTCCTAGCCTGAGACCCGGCATGGACAAGGAGGTGCTGGGGATCCTGGTGTCCTATAAAGTGAAGGTCAACCTGGTGGTGTCCCGAGGAGGGTGAGCTCTGTGGGCATGGTGGCAAGGACACCTCTTGGGTCGTGCGCTGGGGTCTTGTACAACTGGGCTGGTGACAAGGGGATGAATGCAATGAGAAGGAGCTCATGCTGGGGGTTCCTTTCTCCCTGCCCATTTCCAAGGACAGTGGAGGCAGCTGAGGTCCACCTCATCCTCTTTGTCTCCACCACTACTGCCCTTCACTTATTATAAAGCATTTTATTTCAAAGCTAAAAAACCGACACCCTTCTCTTCTTCCTTTGATGCTTTCTTTCCTTTATCTCCATGGCCAAAGCATCCTGGGGGATCTCACATCCAGGTAAGGAGGGAGCTGCCCACAGCGCTCAGTGCCAGCACAGCGCAGAGCCGGGGCCAGCATCGTGCAGCACTGGGTGGGTTCACTGAAGGAAGTGCTTCTGCTTCCAGTGATGTTGGTGTTGAGCTGCCCGTCATCCTGATGCACCCGAAGCCTGCGGATGGTGAGTAGCACCTGACATGCTGCCGAAACACCAGGGAAGAAAATGTAGTTCCTGTTCAAGGGGGAACTGATAGGACTGATGGCTCTGGAAAGTCCCAACGGCTGGATGAAGTGCCCCAGAAAATGAGGCACATGTGACTCATCAGCCACGTGCTGCTCAGGACCAGACAGCGTGCTGGAGGAGCAGCTCTGCTCTCTGCTGCCACCCACACATGGCAGGCTGTCCAGAAGAGCACCTGAGCATTGAGATGCCTGTTGAATGTCATTTCTTTATTAACTATAAACATCTCTATTTCAATCCCTGCCTTCCCATACTGTGCTTACAAATGGACTGCACAGATAAACCAAGGTAAGTTTACTTACACCTCAGACTGCATTTCCTCCAACACACAAATTGCGTAAACCCATCGCAGATATTCCATTTTGGGTGATGGAGGTGCTCTTAAATTAGAACATCCATGCCAGCAAGCCTTGTGCATGTGTCACAGCAGGCAGCACGGCAATCCCTACAATGGCACAGGCAATAGGATGTAGGCCTATTCATGGCAGCCAGTGCTACCAGCCGGCCCCACAGCTCTCACAGCTCCCAGACCCTGCTTCTGTGTCTGGTTCGTGCCGTAGTGCAGGGTGTTACATGGGGGTGTGGAGCCGGGAAACTCAGTCTGCAGCACTGCCTCAGCTCAGCAAGGACACAGAGGCTTACAGAGAAGAAAAGCTGTTGGTTTGCCCCCACCATCACAGCCCATAGATTTCCCCAGGTCGTTTCATATTCACACACTCCTGGAATTGTTTTTGCTGACTCTTCATTTCCATCTTTTCCTTTTGTGGCTCTCCCTTGCTGTCATCCGCTTGCCTTTTGCAAGGAGGTAACGAATCCTTTTGTCACCACTGTAGCTCCCTTCCCCTCCTTTTTCCCCTTGACACTGTAAAACGCTGCCTTGAATTAAACCCCCCAAAGTTGCTGGCCCTCCCCCGGCTCCCCAGCTCCAGTTTGGGCTGCACGCCCGCAGGGTGTCTGCAGGGGGAGCCGGATTTGGGGTGGGGTTCAATCGTTCCAACCTCACCGCGCTCCTTGCAGCGAGGAGGACATCGTCATCGAGGAGTTCGCTCGCCAGAAGCTCAAGGGAGAAAAAGACGATGAAGACGAGAAGGAGGAAGGCGAGAAGGAGGAGAGCTGAGCTGTCTGCAGACGGAGGCACGGGGGGCCGTACCCCCACAGCACCCCGCAGCCCTGCCCGCCCTCAGCACCACGTGCCCCGTAGCTGCCCCGCTCTGCCCCGCTGTGCCCCCTAGCTGCCCCGCTGCCCCGGCGCTGCTATCGGGCTGTCCCACCGCCCACACTGAGCGCGGAGCTCCGGCGCTCGCACGGCCCAGCAGCGGCCCCGGGCGCCGTGTCGTCCATCACCGGCCTGAATGACGCGATGTTTTCGGCGTGTTTATAAATAAACCGACGCGAAACGAGAAACGGAGCCGTTTTGTAAGAACGCTACAACGGGGGTGGGCTCGAGGCCGCCGCCCACCGCCAGGTGGCGCTGTGCCGCGTCGGTGACGCCATCGCGGCGGCGGCGGAAGTGGCGCCATCGCGGCGGCGGAAGTGACGCGCGGCGCGGCGGGCGGGGCGGCGGTGCCGGTGTGTGCTCGGCGGCCTCTTCTTCTCCTCAGTCACGGCTCCGGCTCGGCCTCTCCGCGCCGCCATGTCCGCCCCAGGCAGCGGCGGCGAGTTCGGCAACCCGCTGCGGAAGTTCAAGCTCGTCTTCCTGGGCGAGCAGAGCGGTGAGCGGGGCGGGGGTTGGGCCTGGTGCTGAGGTGCCGTTAGGCGGGGCGGGGCCGGCGGGGCGGCGGCCGGAGCGGGAGGGGGGGGGGGGGAACCGGGGGCGGCGGGGCGGGTCGGGCCAGGCCGGGCCGGGGGGTCGGTGGGCTGGGAGGGCTCGGCGGGCTCGGCATCGCCTCACCGCCCGCGGCTGCGCTGCGCCCCCGGAGGCGGCGGCTGCCTCCCGCATCCCGCACTGCCGTCGGTCTCCTTTCAGCCGGACGCCGGCTCTGTTTCGTGCCCCTGCCCTCACGGTGCGTGGATGACTTGCGTTATTTTCTTGAAATCGGGGTGCTCCGTCTGTGTCGCTCTCCCGTATTTGTCGTCTCCTCGACCGCAGGACTGCGTCTTGCAGGAATTTCCAGAAGTTTTCAGGTTGAGCTGCCTCAACGAGGCGGGATCCATGTTGCTGCTGACAGGTGCTTGCCTTCCTGTTGCTGGCGCTCACCATTTCGCTGCTTTCTGCAGCTGCTTATTCCTTTTCTTTCCTCCCTTCTGTCTGTGTTTTTTGCAGCTTCCCAAGAGAATCAGGGATCTTTGGTTCCCGTTCTCATCAGTTCTTGCACTATTTCTCTTGGTGACATTTGGATATGTGCGTTTTTTAAGCATGCTATCAAAGTTCACAGGATCACAGAATGGCCTGGGTTGGAAGGGATGTCAAGGATCACGAAGCTCCAACCCCCTGCCACAAGCAGGGCCACCAACCTCCCCATTTCACAGCAGCCCAGGGCCCCATCCAACCTGGCCTTGAACACCTCCAGGGATGGACGGGGCATCACAGCCTCTCTGGGCAGCTGTTCCAGCACCTCACCCCTCTCCTAGTACAGAACTTCCCCTGACATCCAACCGAAGTCTTTCCTTCTTCAACTTAAAACCACTTCCCTTGCCCTGCTGTTATCTACCCTTTCCAAGAGTTTACCTTATATCTAAATATCATTTATGGACAAATGATCTCAGTATTAAACGCTGCTTTTCTGTGGAGCTAGTGGCAGCTAATTAACATCCAAGGCAACACTGTGTCAGCTTTTGATGCTTGCATCTGGGAGTCCCAGACTTGGTGATTACATAAGTGCCCAAATATGAATAACAAAGCAGATTTACTGCTTGCTCAAAGCAAACAGGCAGCTCTGTGCTGTTCTCATCATAACATACCTAAATTGAGGGTCAGGTTTCCATAGTGATTAGATTTTTTCTTAGATTCCTTTGACTTAGTGCTCACCTATTATCTCATGAATGAATTTCTCAGCTGGTTATTTCCCAGGTGGGAGTAGCTGGGAAGTAGCCTTATGTTGGCAACGTCATTGTGGCAGTCAGTGGTACCAGTGTGTGAATCCTGAACAGCAGGTTCTTCCACTGCTCTTTGAAAGTAATTTTGCCTCTTCTTTTATAGTTGGGAAGACCTCTCTGATCACCAGGTTTATGTATGACAGTTTCGACAATACTTACCAGGTATGTGGTAGACACTCCTCTGTGAACACATCTACTTCCCACTACTAAAATGCATTCCTGTTGTGCACGTCTCCATGAGGTGTCAATTGAGTATTGTACACGAGACTGTAGTGTGACTTGAAACGTAGATCAGACTGGAATTAAGTCCCAGTGTGCTATCAGGGTGTGCAGTGAGCAGGAGAGCTGTGAGGTTTAGATCCTGTTTGGGTGTTGGAGAACTGTGAGGAAAGCAAAGAGAAACGTTGGTTTATGGGATCAGTGAACAAAAAAGACAATGGTGAGGAGGAGTGAAGGTCAGTATGGAGCATCAGGAAATGGGGAGTAAGGTACACGTGTGCTTCTGATAGTTCTTGGTCTCTGCTGTCTTTATAGATGTCCTGTTAAAATAGTAGTTGAGTCCAGACTACGTGGACGGACCCCCAAGAAGTCTACGTGGTGTATTTTCTCTCTGAGTCTCTCTCTATTTAATTTTTAAATGTATGTCTTGTTTTTTAGCTGAAAGGGTATAGATAGAAAAAGTCAGGGGAATTTTGGCAAGGAGAGAGCAGGGTAGGGATGGAGAGACTTCAGACTGAGAAGCTCAGCATGTGTAGGAGGCGCAGAGATCTTGGGAAGAGTTAGCTGAAACAAAATGGCTTAGTGGTATTTCAAAGGAGTACTGAATGTCTTTGAGGAAGATGAGACTGTGGTGGCCTCTTTTAATGCAGGCCAGGAAGAGTTATTGGTTTCAGTTGGAGTAATTTCAAGCTGGAAGGTAACAGAGAAGGTGGTTTTCTGGAGGACGAGTCATTTATTGAAATCAGATCCACTTGTGCTTTGTGTGCTTTTATTCCTAACCCTTGTTAGGTGCTCTGGAGGGTTTATCTTGTTGTGAGCTGTCTTGGCTGCAGAAAACAGGGCTCATAGAGAAGAGCTACTGACTGCAGAAATTGGCAGCTGTGGTTTGATATCAGCTGGTTTGTGTTCTAATGGATGCTTCCAGAACACGTGGTGCTGCTCATGTTTGAGTCTGGAGATTGTACTAAAATCTGTTCGGTAATCAGTCACTTGTTTCCTGGGGTTGTGAGGGGCCGGGATGCCTGCTTGATTTAAATGCCTGCAAACGTTTAACACCTCTAACTTTGTAAGTTACTTTGGGTGTTTCTGGAGTGGAATGTCTGTGCAGCAATGGAAATGTGAATGGAGGGAGGTAGATGGAAAGAACTGCTTGGGAAGTGCAGCTTCTGGTTGCTCTTGAAAAGGAAGAGCATTCTCTGTTGTTGGATAGCCCTGAATCGACGTTACTTTTTAGGTTTCAGCGCAGCTGCTCACAATTTATTTGCTCTACCTTCTGGTTGTTTCTAATAAGAGAAATGTTAACAGAACGAATTGCTGTAAAGCAGAGGGAGATGACAGGACAGATATGATCTGTGCTGAGATGCACGAATGTCAAGGAGGTAAAATTAGAATTTGGAGGATCTTGGGAGTTGAGAAGTGTTGGAAGAATAGTGTGAAATAGAGATAGTGGAGATACCCAGATTGCTTTGTTTTTATCAACTCTTTTGAGGGCAAATGACTTCAACAGCTAAATTACAAGTTAGCGAACGTTCTTTAGACATTGTGTAGAAAGATCTGATCTGCAGATCCTGGGAGGCAGTTCCTAACGCTTTTCTTCTTTCCAGGCAACCATTGGAATTGATTTCCTGTCAAAAACAATGTATCTCGAAGATCGCACGGTAAGTGAGGCGTCCGTGTCGGTGTGGCAGCAGCAGCTGCTGTGGTGCTGTTTGCCGGCCAGGCCTCCAGCGGCTGCTGGAATCCCACAGCACCTTCAGAGGGACAGCCTTTGTTGAGTCAGATCACTGACCCATGGCCTTGCTGGTACCACTAGCATGTAAGGCCTCCAGCACTGAGCCTGATCCTTCCGTGCAAGACTGGGGTGAGCCCATGTCCAAGCCGTGGGGAGCGGCTGGCTGCTCTGCTTGAGAGGCACGCTTTGCTCCCAGGATTTGCAGCGCTGTCTGTAGGGGTTGTCAGTGTGACTGGATGTGGACAGACCCCAGGAAGCAATTCCAAGTTTTGAAGTCATTCAGGATTAACAATAGTGGCACGGTTCCTCTTTGCAGAAAGGTTCTATTTGTAGCACAATGCTGACTTTCTGTTAATAGAGCGTTTTTGAATTTAGCTTGCATGAGACTCCATTTTGCAGGAGTTCCTTTGTATCTCTCTCCTGTCTTTCAGCATCTGCCCATTTGTTCCTGTTTTGCTAGCAGTTGCCTTTTTGCTCATTTTATTACTGGCCAAGAAGCTGCTGGCAGGAGGGAGGGGTCAGCGCTGCAGTGGAAGCCTTTTGCACTGTTTTGGGTCTGTTGCTTTTGAAGAAATCTCATCCCTGTGTGTGGCGAGATTCTCCTGAGTGCTTCTCTGCCATCTTACCAGCGACTGATTGTTAGAAAAGACCTCACTGAATCTTTAGGAGAGCTGCTTGGAGAATGTTCTTGTGTTGTTAGCAGATCTTGAGAACGCAGCTTGACACGTGTGAAGTCAAGGTGGAATGCCTGTGTCTTGTTTGCAGCAGTCTGTAGGTCTCAAGCGTAGTCCTGGTTCCTTATGGCTGTGAAGGTCACGGTGCTGTGCACCTCCTGGCCTGCTAGCCAGAAAATGGCTGGTATACTGTTAGCTTTCTTAATTATTTATCCTGTTAAAATAAGGAGAGGTGCTGAGTGAAAGTCAGGAGGGAGAAATACTAGCACACCAAGCTAGACAATGGAATGGTTTCTCAGATACGGCTAGTCCTATATTTTGCTGTAGGCTTTGTCTGCTGTACTTGAAATGAAGAATGTGAAGCCTCCAACTGCAGCTTATGCTTTGACATCTATGTCTTTATGCCAAATAATGTCCTGTATGTAGTGGTTGTACCCCACTGCTGTTCCTAGGCACTTCACATCAGAATTTCCAGTGGATTAATCAAAACTGTGTCTGGATGATGCACTCCTTAGGATTTGGAGTGGCCGCATCTAGCTAGCTGTAGGCTGCAGTCTGTATGACTTGTGTACCTGGAGTCCCCCTGTGGCAGAATGCACTGAGGTATGTATGCACAGTTCCCTCCTTAGCAGACAGGTTTGGAAGGTACTGTAGGGATATTTAGGACATGGGAGAGTGTGCTTGTGTACGAGTTGCTGCTGGTCGTGTGGAGGGGGAGAGGTTATTCTGGTGTGTCAGGCTGCAGTTAGAGGTACCGCTGCCTCTTTTCACGCTTCTGTTCCATGTTAACTTTCCTTTTGTTGCTTTTTTTTTAACCATGCAGTTTTTTTTCTTTTTATTTCACTTGAGTTTCGGTTTTGTTTTCCATTTTCCTGCCCTTTCCTTTCCCTCTTCCCTGCACTTTTCCGTTTCCCAGATCAGGCTGCAGCTGTGGGATACAGCCGGCCAGGAGAGGTTCCGCAGCCTCATTCCCAGCTACATCCGTGACTCTGCTGTGGCTGTCATTGTCTTTGACATTACAAGTAGGTATTGAGCCTGAGTGTCTGCAGAGGCCTTGCTTGTAACGTGTGCCTTTTGTGCTTTGGAGGCAGTGCTGGTTTCTGAACGTAGTTCAGTGCAGCGTCTGATGCACGGGCTCAGATGCGAATGATGCAAATCGTTCTCTACAAGGTCTCACATCGCTTACATACCTTCACAGGTTTTCTTTTTCTAGCTTTCCCATCCACTCCCACAACTTTCCCATCCACCTTTACGTGTCAGCAGAGCATTCAGCACAGCGCCCTTCAGCCGCTCACGCAGGCGCTTGTCCAGTCCGAGCTGTGAGACGTTGGTTCTTCTAGAGCTGTCCTTGGTTGTCATGCTGTTTATCTTGCTCCACAGCTTCTGCTCTGAACAGTTTTTCTTGTATTCCCACAGTTAAGATAGAACATCAGCCCCAGAACTGCAGGTGTTTTGTGGGCTGAGGGGGAAAATAGGTGAGCATCAAGCCCCCAAATCAACATAAACCCCATCTCCTGACACCTAAACTGGGCGGTCATTTAAGTCTTGTCTGCTCAGAAATCAAACTGTGGAAATGATACAGAAAACTGCCCTGGCAGGTGGGTGAATAGGGGTTATGGCTGTGTGTGACTTTGTGGAATGAAAGGTGGCTGGTAGCCTTTAGAAAACTTCTTAGCTTTTCTGTTTGTTTTTTTGTGGGTTCATTGTTGTTTTTGCTGTTGTTTTTGTGCTTTTTTCCTTTTTTGGTGTTTTTTGTTTTGTTTTTCAAATCTTCATATGTTTTCTCCACTCTGGGTAACGAGAGAGGTAATAGAGGAGACAATTTCAGAGGCCAAACCAGTGAGTTACTGCCAGATTAGGTAAAACACTCATTTAAATAGAAGCAACGTGGTGACTTGTGAGTATTCAAGACTCCCATTTCACTGAAGAGCAGAACTGACAACTCATATGAGTCACCAGAGAGCTTTTGAGAAGGAATTCCTCTCACCACAATTTCTGAAGAATAAATGAGTTTATATGCAAACTGTCTGTAACTCTTGGCATAAGCATTTTAGTGTAGGAGAATAATTTCATGATAACTCTGTTATCGCTTCCACTTGATCTGGCTTTTTCAGCTAAGTGAGCTACAGCATCAGCTACACAGGATTCATACCCCCTGAATTAAGCTGAAGTAAAGAAAGCACCACAGATTTAAACAAACAAAACAGCACTCCTTTGGCTTGCCTTCCTTCTGTCACAGACTGTACCTTATTGGGAGCCTTCATGGATCAGGAGTTTGTTTCACTTTGGAAGATGGAAGTGCTGAGCAGCTGATCACAAACTGCACTCAGAAGGAGAGGTTGATCGTAGCAAAAATAATCACAGTGTTTCAATTCTGTAGCTTAAGTATTTAGGGAGGATTTCTGGTTTGGTGCAAAGTATTGTAAGGCTGATCTTTCGGGGTTTGAGGGGTGCTGAGATGTGCTGTGATGACGTGCTGGGAATGGGTTCGCATGAGCAGAGTTTCAGGCTGCAGAGGCTGGCATCTTTTCCTCCCAGCTGTTGTGACAGGTTTAGGAGGCTGTTTATCCAGGCAGGTGGAACAGTCTTGCCACAGTCTGGCTTGTTATTAACAACTTCCAGACGTGTCAGAAATAATTAAATGACAGCTGATCTCATCGTGCCTCAGTAGTGGTCTGAGCTTTTCAGATAACATCATTTTTTTCCCTTTACTGTTCTTTGTTCTGTGCTTAGCAACTAGGAAGCTTTTAGTTTTCTCACGATAGTGAAGGAATACACTTGTGTACTCTTGAGGGCATGATAATGGTGACTGAGGGGATTACAGCCAGTCTGAATGGAAGCTGAGCTGTGCATTTGCACTGTCTTTAGTAGCAGCTGTATTTGGGAACCTCAGTCTTCTCTAAGTTCATGTTGATCACAGTTGTGTAAAACAGGGACAGTCCTGTGAGTACCTGCCAGGATGCTCTGAACAAGGACAGCAAGCACTGCTGGCTCCACTACTTGTTCCTCTTCAACAAGATCAGCAGGGCCAGCCAGTCACCTTCATTCGCTTTTGTGATTGTGAATCTGCAGTCTAGAGCATTTAAATCACCCCCTTGGTGAATTCTGTGGGTGAAAAAAGCTGGTGCAGCAGTGATGTTTTGGACGCTGTAAGGAGCTCATTGGGAAGTTCAAATCCCAGAGCCTGAAGCAGTCGTTACTATCAGTCTGATCTGCCAGCAGTGGTGTGAGGTCGTCCAGGCCCTTGGAGTTCATCACCCTGAGTTTCCAGGGGTAGTGAGGAGCCCTGATCTCTGCTACTGTAACAACAGCTGCCTTTAGAAGAAATCTCCTGCCTGTGGTTATGACTGCATGCACCACATATTCATACATACTAAGACGGGAAAAGGATGGTAGCAAACCAGATGCTAGTGCTGTCATTCAGTAACTTGGTTTGTGTTTGGAGATCATGGTGGTTCTGGAGATAAACTGTATCTTACAGCATTTGGTACTTGGTTCTGACTCTTGTGCTTATTAAAAGGGGAGAGCCCAGTGCCCTTTTTGCACATGAAGCCTGTATTGTAGCATTTGCTTTTTTTCTGCTGGAATTTAAGTTATCAGTTGCCCTGATGTTGCATGAAAATCTCCATTGCCGTCTTCTGGCTGCATCATGCTGGGAGAATGGATGCTGTTGCACTACTTGGTGTCAGAATTGAGGTAGTTAGGTGTCTGCCATGTGCTAAATGCCCCAAGAGTTTTAACTGGGTCATGGTGGGCCAGGAGGTCTTGCATGTATAACCCTGGGTAGGCTAGGAAGGTGGCTCTGTTACGTACCTCTGCCTTTAGCAGCAGTGGCTGGAGGTGGCAGCTGTAACCTGGAGCTCTTTGGGATGTGGTGGCCATGGGAGTAGGAGAATCTCTAGGCAAGCAAAGGAGGTAATGAAAGCACATTGCGTGCAGTCGAAATCTGAAAAGCCAAATTCTGCCGTGTGCGGGTGTTTGCAGCTGGATTACAAGGTCAGTGCCAGCTTCTGAGACTGAGCTGCGTGTGGTCGGTTCTAGAAATGGCCTTTCTCTAAAGGACAGTTTCCTCCTTTCTTTTCTCTCCTGCATTCTCTCTGCTCTCCCTGGCCTGGTACCAGCAGGTTCGGCTGCAGCTCTGGGACACAGCAGGCCAGGAGCGGTTCCGCAGCCTCATTCCCAGCTACATCCGCGACTCCACTATTGCTGTGGTAGTCTATGACATTACAAGTGAGTGATCGTCGGTGTCTCGTTGTCTGAAATCCTGCATGTGAGCAGAACTGCTCCCTCGAGTTCTGCGTAAAGATGATTAACAGTAGAAATGTCCCCCTGCCCCTGCGGGTTTTTGTGTTCGGGCAGAAAACGATTTGTGGGTCATTTATGTGCGATGTGGGGAGACTTGGAGAGCATCTGGATGCAGGCAATACCCAGATTCGTGGGTTTTCTTTCTCGCTTCAAAGTAGTTTTATCCTTAACATTCCCATTTGCTTCTTCCTTACAGACTTGAATTCCTTCCAGCAGACCTCCAAGTGGATTGATGATGTTCGGACAGAGAGGGGAAGCGACGTCATCATCATGTTGGTGGGGAACAAAACTGATCTGGCAGACAAGAGGTAATAGAGGAGCTGGTGGCCTTGCTGCCCTGGCCAGGAAGAGCAGGGAACTGGCTGCCTTGACTCTTAAAGTCCCGCGGATTTCACATCTTAGGGCGTGCTGTAAAATGTTTGCCTTTAAAATTCCTAATTCTGTGATGCTGCTTCAACTAACAACCACCAGAATAGCTTTTCAGAGGACCACATTCTGCATTTCTATTTCAAATTCATCCCTTTATTGTTAAATTAAGAAAACATATTTAATGTTTTCAGAGATTTTCCTTTATGAATGCATTGGAAATAGCATAGATAAGGAAAAATTGTTTATTTCAGTGGTCGGCTTCACCGTTAGTTGACAAAAAGAAAATGGAGAATGCAGCTTCTGACAATCCCAGTACTTTAAACTAACACATGCATGCATATGGGTACTCTGAGATGTGTTCTTTGTGTTTCAAAGGGTATGTGAGACCTCAAGGTTATGAGGAATTTTTATTTGGTGTAAAAGAATCTCAGAAAAAAAAAAAACTGGGCAATGCCTGGACCTCACAGTAAAACAGAGTCTTATGAAATCAAAACCTGGCTGTTCCTGAGACGCTTCCAATCACAAGATACCATCTTCAGAAGCTGTTTTCTCAGAAAAGAAATCCTGCACTATTACCTGGGTTGCCTGCTTGTTTACTTTTCTCCTCAGTATGATGTGCCTAACAGCAGTCTGACCGTTCCATTATTGGATGTTGCCATGTTTTAAATCGTAAACTTTGCTTTACTCACCCCTGAGATGTAAATCCTGCCATGGGAAATATTGTGGTGCTTTTTTTTTTCCTTCCCCTTACATTTTGGTGTTGTACAAATGCTCACGTGAGACAAGAGCCAGCATCCCTGGCTGTACAAGGATGCTTTTTGCCCTTTGTCCCGGTGCAAGTCGTGCTATTAGTTTTTAGTTTGCTGTGCCTAGCAGGAGAAGCACAATACTAAAGCTCATGATAGTTGAGGTTTTCCTGAGTGCTGCGTGGGCTTCTGTACTGATGATACTTGTGGAGATGTTTCCTCTGCCCTTCACACCTTCCCATCAATTGTTTTACTTTTCCCAGCTCCATTGGAGGCCAGTGCAAGTAATCCATGCCTTACGCCCCAGAAACGTTGGGGGAACTCAGTGCCCCAGAGCTTCAGAAATGGGATTGATGTATAGAGCTGACTTAGGTTAAGAAATCCAGGTAGCAAGAAGTCAGAGTGGTCTGGCTTCTGATTTCAGCTCCTAAAAGCATCTGAACGAAATCTGATGGGTTGTAGTTCATTCAGCAGCTCTGTGTGCTGACCAGCTGCTATCACTTACGCCCTCCCAGGAGCTGGAAATACCTGCAGCTCTCTAACTGAAAAATCTGGAGTTCAGATTTGAGGCTAATTTGTACCAATTTGCATTTTTTTGTATAACTGTAAAACCCAGTGGGATAATTCCTGCCTTGCATTATTTTCTGGCAGTACAGAAGAGTATGTGCAGAACAGCTGTTTCATCTCTGCCATACAGATATAAAAACCAGAAACTTACTTGAACCATAGCTGTGGTTGGAGTTGATGTAGCACTGAAAATCAGAAGTTTAATTAAGTGCCAGCAGTCCTGGCCTAGGCTTGAATTTGCAATTTCATGTAAATCCTGGTATCAGTAAAAGAAGCCCCACTGTCTTGACCAGAACTGTAAAATAAAAGCAGCTCTGTGGCAAGCTGCAATGCTGGGCCTCTTAATTCTGGAAGAAAACACAGTATCAGTTTCAACCTTATCACATTATTCTTTTGTTTTAAGTAGTATACAGCATATTGGAACCCATTCCCCCTGAGTGGTGATTCAGGTTGAGTTCTGGTGCCAAGAAGCTGAACTCAGGATAGCAGTGGTTTTATTTGCTGCAGCCTGTTAGTTTTTCTTTCCTGTTCATGTTGCTTCAGTTGGTGGCTGGTTTTTCTGCAGTTTTCTTTTTATCAGTTTTTGGACTATTTTTCTTTGTTTTGGTTTTTCTTTTCTGTGATTTGTTCTCATTGCTGTAGACAGGTTTCTATAGAGGAGGGTGAGAGAAAAGCCCGAGAACTGAATATGATGTATATTGAAACCAGTGCTAAAGCAGGATATAATGTGAAACAGGTATGTACAGGGCATTGGTCAGAGATGCACTTGCAGGTGCTTGCACACAAGCTGTAGCTGCTGCTGGAGCCTTTCTGATTTCTTTCTGCAATCTTGTGGAGTTCCCTTCAGTTGGCTTTTGGGAAATGGCTTTTTGCAGCAGGTGCAGCTCATGGGGATTCTTCCTTCCCTTGGGAATGCTGTGAATGAGACTCAAATGTATTGCATAAAACTTCATCCTGTGCTGATCACCCTTTAGTAATGGTCTGAAGTCCAGCTGTTCTCTGAATCACTTGCCTGACGTCTCCTCAGCTGGAGAACTCAGGGGTCTCGAATGCCCAGAGCTCCTGAGGTCTCCACTTCTGGACTCTGCACCCTGGTGATGGGCAGTGAATGGGCCTTTCACTGACTAGTGTCTCACTCACAGATATCTCCAATTCCTCTTGACTGTTTTTCCTTTCTGTCTTTCTGCTTCTGTTTGCACCTTTGTCCAGGCAAATCACTACAGAAGAAGGGGAACAGAGAGCCAAAGAGCTGAATGTGATGTTTATTGAGACCAGTGCAAAGACTGGATACAATGTGAAACAGGTAGATGGATCTTCTGTTCTCGAGGCAGGAAGTTTGTACTTTCCTTTTGCTCTGTGGGAGGATTAAGCTTCTGCCTGGGGTTCGTGTTCTTCAGATCTTCTTCAGATACTTGCTTGTATTTGCTGTCAGCCTCTGAAATGCTCCTTGCCCAGTGGTCACTGCTGCTGCTTTACCTAGTGAAAGCTTCCTTCGTGTTAAATCAGTGAATCCCTGTTAAAGCTAAGGAAACTTAACTTACCTTGAAAGATAAGAAGATCTAAAAATGAAATATGCTGAGGAATAGAAATGGCAGTGCTCAGTGCAGCCTGTCCAACTTCATTCTGTCCATTCCCTTTGCTGCTGCTAACCATGAACGCAGTTTTCTAAACTCAGTTTTGACTCCAGTCGAGTCAGTAGCATGTGCTGATGCTTAAAGTGGAAGTTTCTGGTTCTGTTGACGAGCCACAAAATAAATAAATAAATAAAATAAAATCACAGAATGAAGTTGGAAGGGATCTCTGGAGATCTTGTCCAGCCCTCGTGCTCAAATCATAGTCAGCTAAAGCAGGCTGCCCAGATCTGACTCCAGTTGGATTTGGAATATGCCAAAGAGTAGAGACTCCATCTCTTCAGGCAAGCTGCCCCAGTGCTGAGCTACCTTACAGCTGAGGTAAAGGATCTGCAGAGAGCGTAAGCATGAGTAGTGTTGGGAAACTGCCAGCTGGGATACCTGCTGAACTTTGCTGCACACCAGCTGGCTGGAAGAGCCTGGTGATAGGATTAGGGGATGCATTTTGTTTCTGTGGCTGTTTTGGTGCTCAGTGCCTCGATATGTTTTCCAAGTGACATGTTTTGAAGGTGTGGATGAGAACATCTGCCAAGCTACTGTGAAGAAAAATCATTGTCAGCTGGTGATTCCTTTAGTCCTTTAAATGAGAAGCTTTTACACGGCATCTTTCACCTGGCTGTCCAGCAGTGTCTGTGTTGTTTGCTGCTTCATTAATGGCGGCAGGGGGAGCTCTGAGCATGGGTTTAAAATTATGCAAAACCATTTTCTGTCTTTATGAGCATATGCTTGTCCTTCCCAGCTCTTGTACATCCTTAATAGCTGTCAATGGTTTAAGGGCTGGTTCAGCCCAGTTCTGTGACGAGCGGGAAAAACACAAAACCATGACAATAGCTTAAAGCAGCTCACCCAGGCTGGCCATTCTGCCCAGAGGTGGCTGTTTCACAGCAGGACTGAACTGAAAGGGTCAGCTGTAGAGCCTTGGTTGTTTCATAGACTTCTGGAGCACACCTCTGAACAAACTAAAGGCTTGTTAGAGGTCCCGAGCCAAGCACTGTAATGTAGCTGTGCGTAAAAGCAGTTGAGGCTGGAAATAGTAAATGGTAGCCTCTAACATGCTTACCTGTATGCAGGGGGGATTTGTTTCTGTACATCCCTAGATGAACAATTTCTAATGAGAAAGAACTTCATGTTCAGCTCGAGGAGAAGCAGATAAAAGCAAGCCACCTGTTTGGTAGGCATTCAGTAGCTTCATTTCCTTAAGCAGGCTTGTTAAATTGTTTATGGAAAAAAGTCTTGTGGCATTTGATTGTTGCTTTGCTTGCTAAAATACCCGTGTAACAAGTCTGTAAGATGCTCAGGTCTGCCGTGGAGCAGTATTGGGGTGGGTTTTGTGGTGTTTTTAGTTTTTGACACGGATTTCTTTCTGAGGAGCTGTCAGTTCACCTGTTGCTACCTTTCAGCTATTCCGTCGTGTGGCTGCTGCCTTACCCGGGATGGACAGCACACCAGAGAAGAGCAAAGAAGACAGTATCCTTGTTTTCTGGATATCATAGGATTTTCACAATTAACGCTTTGTGAGTGTGGGCTCGCTGACTTGTTGGCACATTGGAGGAATGGGGTCAGGGGGGTCTTTCAGAGACACGGCTGAAAACAGAGCAGTGTGGTGCTTACCTGCAGCTGTGAAGTGTGGCCCCTGCTTGTAAGTGCGCTCTGCTCTGACCAAGAAGGGCTGCTGACAACTCTTTAAGATACTGATCATGTTCTCTGGGTCTTTTTCCTTCTCCTTGAGATGGGTGATTTCCTTAACTTACCTCCTGCAGTGATTGACATCAAACTAGAGAAGCCTCCTGAGCAGCCAGTAACGGAGAGCGGTTGCTCCTGCTAACAGGCCCGTTCTGTAGCAGCACATTCCCCAGCTGGCCAGTCTCACTGAAGAACATCACTGCTCATTGGCTAGGCAACCCTACTTTGGGCTGAAAAAACAATCTACTAAGCGAGCGAACTCCCTGTTTACGGTGGGGAGCAGCCCTGGCCGCCCCTCTTACTGCATGGTATGAGCCTTGAGTGCAGAATGAGTGTCCTGTCTTTTATTTTACTTTTTTATGTTGTTGCACTTTGGCACCGTGGTGCCCTTTACACTCTCTCTCTTTCTCTTCCTCCCCTTTCCCACCTTGAGCCTGTCTGCTCAGATGTATCATGTGAATGCAATGGAAAAGCCACCAAGTTAGGGAAAAGACAAAAAAAAAAAAATAAAGCTTGGAGGTGGGTTTTCCACTTTCCTTTACTGCCTTGCATATTAACTAGCTCCTGTCCACTCCAGTCTTGTCTGTTCTGCATCCCCACTTCCTCTGTTTAAAGGCTGCTCCTTTTACAACAGTCACTTGGACTTGGCCTTGCCTTGTTGGGCAGTACAGGTTATCTGTTTCTAGGCTTCCTGCGGGGCACACACACAGTATTAGCTCTTCGGTTTCTCCTTTCTGTGGATGATCTTGGCTAAGTTCTGCTCATGACTTCTGGGTTTTGCCCTGCACTCTGACCCTCATGTGACGCAAAACACTGGAAACTCCCAAACTCTTTGCTTCGACCTTGTTGCTCCCATCTGCGTAGCAGAGACATCCCACAGATTGCTCCCTGCAGTGTGAGTATCTTCCTGTCTGGAGGATGTTGGTGCTTGGTGTGTTGGCAGTAAGATGTGGGGAAGGAAATGGGTACAGAGACTTTGCAGCATGAAGGTGGGTGGGGAGAAATCCTCAGGGTGATTTGTAGGGACCTCAGTCTTTTCTGTCAGCAGCGAAAGCAAACAGCTCTGTGGAGCCCATCACTGCAGGAGCAATACCTGGGAATCGTGTGTGCTGTTCAGGTTCCTTTCCTGGTCTCCATCCTTCTGTTTGTGGTCACATAGCCTAGGAGAGCAGGTGGGCTACAGCAAATTGAAGGCCACTGATAGCTGTTCTGGCTTCATATCTAGGTTGCTGCTCAATGAAATCACACACAGCTGCTTCTGCTTTTGTTGTGGTCTCAGAGAGTGGGGGGTAATACCCTGCTGCTTTTGGAATAGTGGTAACAGAGATAAGTGCTAGCAGGGATTTATTATCGTGGGTGAGTAGGGGAATGTACACTGCTAGAGTGCATTGTATTGTCACTTCTGGATGCCTGAGGTTGGGAAATAGCTCGCTTTTCCCTCAGCTCTCTGCCCCTGATTTCTAACCATGTTAGTAGAGCTCTTTGTAAACTTTCATTGTGATATTTTTTTTTGTGTGTTTGTGTGTCCATCTGACCAATCCAGAAGTCAGGAGGTCTGTTGACAGAGAGGAGAAAAGAACAGCCAGGTGGTTTTAAGCCAGTCGCCAGTTCTTTCATCACCCAGCCTATGTATCGCCGCTGGGGGGGAGCAGCACAGCGTGCCACGGTGTTAAGGGTACAAACAGGGACAGTGATGTTTGGGTTAGTGAGGCCCTCCTAGCAGGATGCCTTGTCGGTCACTGACACAGCGTGTGCACTTTGAAACCTGTGGGCTGGGGAAGGAGGGGAGGGGGTGACCTCGGGCTGGGTGCTGGTGGCCTTGTTGGAGAGGCGCCTGGTCGGAGTGCCATGGCTGCTTCCTGGTCATGTTGGCTTACTGGCATCTGGTGACCGAGCTGCAGGTGGCTGCCCTTGTGCTCAGAGAGCTTTGTCCCTTCCCTCCACATGAGCTGGCCTGCAGGAGGAAGCTGGGATGTCATTTCCCCATTTCATTCTGGAGTGCCCCTTACCCGCAGTTCCAGCCGGCATGGCTGGGTCCTGTGCGCCCAGCCCCAGCAGGAACTCAGCCCCTCCTCTGTACATACTCCTGTCACGTGGGAATTGCTGATATTTGTTGGTGTGTGTGTGTCTGCTGTAGAACAGGTTTTGCTGTCCCTTTCTCATGGGCAGGCGTGCACTGTGCCTGCCCTTGTATTGTTCTGAGTCACGGGCCTGGGGGGGACAAGGGGGGCCCCCCCAGTCCCGGGGGGCGGGGTAACTAGTGAAATAAAATAGTTCACTTCCCACTGTCTTCTCTATGGATGTGTATAATATTGAGTGTGTGTCTGGCCCTGCTGTCTCCTAGCTGTTAGCCAAGTGTGACTATTACTATGAGTATGGACTGTCTGACCACAGCCGTGTATCACACTAAATAAAGTTATTTCACCAACACCTCCTCTGTCCTGCTGGCAGCTTTGACGTGGCTGTAGGGGGCGGGAGCTGCTCTGCCCGGCCCCGGGGTGGTGACGGAGCGGGGCTGGGAGGCACTGTCCCGGTGCAGGGCCGCATGGAGCGGGCGCAGGTGCCCGACGCCGCTGCTTTCCGTGCCTTCAGGCAGCGCTGTCAGGATGGCAGCTGGCAGCGGGACCGCGGTGGGCTCGCCGTCAGCCTCCAACTGCCACCGCCTGGCTGTGCCGTGCACCAGCTCAAGGTGAGGGCCGGGGGCAGCACCGGGCCGGTGGTCGGCTTCGGAGCCTCTTCTGAGCTCCCGGTGCTCCCTGCAGTGCCGCATCGATGTCCCGGACGTGCCAGCAGAGACGATGTACGACGTGCTGCACGACAGCGAGTATCGCCGGCAGTGGGACAGCAACGTCATCGACACGCACGACATTGCCCAGGTGGCTGCCAACGCTGATGTGGGCTACTATGCCTGTGAGTGCAGGGGGCCGAGGGGTGGTGCTGGCCTTCTTTTGTAAAGCCTTGGTCTGTGTTCAGCAAGGTACAGCCCTACCCAGCCTGCCTGGCAGGAGGGACGTAATTTGGGGTGCGGGATGCAGCTCAGCACTGCCGCTATGTGAGGTGGGCTGCTGAGGGATAGGAGTGGTGCTGCGTGGAGATACTGAGGTAGCAAAGCAAGGTTGGGAGGATGCTTGGGCAAGGCAGGAGCCTCTTGAGGGGTGCTGAGCTCCGTGGTTCCTTTGTGGTGCTTGGGCAGGGGAAGCAACTTTTTCCCTTCCTCATCCAGGGCGATGTCCAAAGCCCTTAAAGAACAGGGACGTGGTGATGCTGCGAGCCTGGCAGGTGGAGGATGGGTATCACACCATTATCAACTTCTCCATCAAACACCCGGTGAGTGAGGAGCAGGCTGGGCTAGAAGGCTGTCCTGTTACAGGATCCCAGGATCCTACCTATGTCTGGGGTAAACTGGAACTCCCAGAGCCCATCGCAATTAGCTTCCTAATTCCTGGACGAGATCCCAGCTGGAGGCAGCTGATCTAGCCTGGTCGTTGCTCTGTGTATTCAGTGCTTGAGACAGGGAGAGGGCAGGGAGCATGGGAGCCAGCATCTGACTGCCTGGTGTGTCTGCACAGAAATACCCTCCGCGCAAGGACCTGGTGAGGGCGGTCTGTCTCCTAACGGGATACCTGGTGCATTCAACTGGGCCCAACAGCTGCAGCCTCACCTACCTGGCTCAGGTGGATCCAAAAGGTAACTGGTGCTGCTGGACTTGTGGTGTGGTGATGCAAATTCTGGTCACAGTGGAAATCTGGCTGATAAGCCAAGAGTGCGTTTACGTTACATGGCCCTACCCTGTTCCAGACCCTCTGGTTAAATCTAATGCCACAGCTTGCTATCAGGGCCGTTGGATGCTTGGTAGAAATAAAGCCATTTTCTGGTGCAATAACTTCAGGTTTTCTCCCCCAAATTTATTAGGGTCGTTGCCAAAGTGGGTTGTGAATAAAGCCTCGCAGTACCTGGTGCCGCAGGTGAGTGGAGCGTTTCTATGGTGCCTATGCCAAGTGCCACCCCATGGCTGGAGCACAGGGCTGGAGAATGGGTGTCCCTGGGCAGTGGAGCTGCACTAGCAATGTGCATCGTGGCTCACCTCAGTGTGACATTGCATTCTGTCAGCCTTACCAGTCCCGACAGCTGACTGATTCATTTCCGAAGCCAGAGGGAGGTGAATAATGCCACTATTCCAGTTTCCACTTGTGGAATGTCCTCCCTCCCCTCTGCTGTTCGTGCAACATCTGAATAGGACCTCGAGGCTCAGGAGCTTTCGGAGGTCCTAAACCAAGCAGCAGAGCAGGACAGGCACAGAGGTTTTCTGTGCCTTGATGGTTTATAGGAAGTTTGATTTCACTTTTCCTAAAGCAGCTGATGTCATTGGGAGATCTGAGCAATTAGAAAATGGTCCTACAAGGAAGTTAAAAACTGGCCTTTCCTGAGCTCCTATGCAGCCAGAAAAGAAATGCAGTAGCTGTCAGCAGTGGGCAGATTGCCGAGAGTTGGTCTAAGCTGCCACTGTTGTTTCCCTCTGTGCTTCCCTGCTTTTGATCAGATGTTAAAGAAACTGCACAAGGCCTGCGTGCAGTACCCTGCCTGGAAGCAGCAGCACAACCTAAACATGAAGCCCTGGCTGTACCCTGAGCAGAACAAGCTTCCCGTGCTGGCGCTGTCGGAGCTGGCACTGCAGCGTGCTGCGTCGCTGGAGAACATCGACGAGAGCAGCCTGGCTGAAGAGAAGGATGAGAGCAGTGAGCACGGTGGCTTGGAGAACTGATGTTGCTCAGGCTTGTCTAGTGGTTTACAAGAAGGGAGGAAAGAGGTTTTTTACTGAAAAAAGAAATCTTCATGTTTGTAGCCTTTTCTCATGAACCAGCTGCGTGGCTCCTGGCATGCAGGCCCTGCTTCCTGCAGGGCACACGGGATGACAGTCCCCACCTGGTAATGTTACGCTCTGGGAGAATTCATACCACGTATTTCTCAGGTGAAACCTGCCCTTACAGAATACAGCTTGTTCTGAGCCTGTTGCTCCCAAGAGGTCAAGTTACCTGTGGTACCTCTGCCAGGCTGCTCTACCAGCTGGTGAGTTACTCATTGACAAACTGCTCTTTGCCTCTGTCCTGTGAGTGGCTGAAATATCTTGTGTTGCTGGAGCTGTTGTTTTCCCAAAGGGAATCAGTAACTACCTGGTGTTTCTCTCCAGCTCTGAACGATGAAACAGACTGGTGACAAGTACAAGTGACAAGTACTGCTCTGTCCATTAAAGATACTTAAGCCATGAATGGTCCTTGAGAAGAATCCACTCCTTCCTTTTTAGCCCACAGCCATTTGTGGGGGCTGCAGAAGCACCTGAGCAATTCTGAGTATTTGCAGAGGAAGCTGCCCTGGGCAGGGCTGATTTCTCTGGTGCTCCTGCGAGGCTCTGATATAGGATTAAGAGGTGGGAGTTGTATTTGCTGTCCTCTGCGCAGTGAGGTCAAAGCCCTCTTTGCTCCTGGGCAGCGTGGTTGTGCCAGAAGCCTGATGTGTGCAGTTGTTTGCTGTGGTTTCCATCAGGCAGAGCACAGGGGTGGCTTTGGAGCCAAGGATCGGCCCTTGAAACTTCACTCTGGCAAGCCTGAGCACAACCCCAGGGGAAGACAGAGCAAAATGAAACATCATCTTGTTGTAATTTGTAAAGCTGGTGTGAGACTGGAAGCATACGTGCTCTGCATTTCCATAGAAGACCTCTTACTTTACTTCTCATGGTATTACAGTGGGTGGGCCTGGATGCTTATTTCCCTGATAGAAAAACTGACTTGTGTAGCTGAAGGTCTTTTTCCTAGCATTTTTAATTCTACTTCAGCTAAGGCGAATCTAGCAGGCAGAGTTGAAGCTGTGTTAGGGCTGCTGCTCCTAGCTGTCTCAAGTGATGTAACACAGACAAATCCTGTTGCAGCCCTTCTTTCTGGCAGCACTGAAATGCCACTCCAAACTAATCACAGGCTGACTTCCATCACAGTCAGAGGAAAAACACCCTTATAATAAGGCTGCACCTGGTATGGGTTCCCTGCATTCTTCCTGCAGGCTGAAAAGGTAATTGGAGCCACGCATTTCCTCAAGGGAGCGCTGAGGGTGGCAACAAACCCTTCAGAGACCTCCTGAGTGAGAATAAGACAAAGTCTGATTGCTGTACTAGTTTTATTATTTCAGTTATTACAGTAAGTGGAAAACACCGTGTAGAAAGCCAGAGCAAGGGCTGTCCTAAAACCAGTTACAGTATGATGCTATCCTACGTTTGTGCCCAGCTTTGCTGATAAACTGTAGTGTTTTCATCTGTGCCCTCCCAGCACAAGGCACAGCAGGCTTTGTCCATTTTCTCAGTAGAACAGCTACCATATCACCATTTCAGCAGCAGGAGAGTGAATTGTCCCAGCAGGAGAGAACAAACCCAAGGCAGAGGAAAAGGGAGAAGTTTACCTCAAAGTGGCAGGGAGCTCTAAGGGGAGCACCTGCAAGGGATGGGGCTGTGCCAAGTGAAGGAAGCAAGTTCAGTAAGTGAAACTTTAACAGTGCAAGCGCTGCACGTGAGGGAACCTGACTATGTGCTACTGCAGCTTAGAAACATGCTCCGAGCATCTTGGTCCTGTATCTCAGGGGTGGATGAGCAGCAACAAGGTACGCACGTGCCTCAGCAGACTAGTGCAGCTAGAGTTGTGCATTGAGTTTGACTGGATTTTACTCCTGTTTGAGTGTCAAGCAAACCCAGTAGTGTAGAGCAGAGGTAGAATAGTGGAGAAGGAAAGGACTTCATGTCACCAGAGAAGTGAACAGGTTGATCTCTTAGAGAAGGCCACGCTCTGCTGAAGTGCATTTGGGCACTCCTGGAGTTACATCCTAGCAACAGGGGCTGGATCCTGAACCAGCAGTGCGTTCCTTTTAAGTTGTATCCTACTAGAAGAGAAGCACAGGTCTGGCAGGACAAGCTGCCCCCCGGTACCCACTTTCTTGCCAGCACTGCCAACTTGTTTCATCATCCAGTTCCAGAACAGACTGAAGCCCCATCCATCCTCCAGCTAAATAGGCTGTGGTGTTCCTTCAAGCAGGAAGCAGAGCTGACACCTGTGCAGTTGTGCCTCCAGTGACAACTGAAACTTAATACGTCATCTCAGATGTTGAGGAAAGGTAGTGGAGAGTTTCTTGCAGGACAGTTCCTCCAGAGAGGACGCCACAGACAGCTGCCTACTAGTGAACAGTTCTTTCTTTCTGTCTCTGGTAATCTGGACAGGAAAAAGAAGGCAAGGCTGAAGGGGCACGAGAGCAGTTGCTGATGGTGAGAAGAAACTAGCCAAGCTGTTACAAGAAAACAAATTCTGCTTATACTTCATTAATAGAAGCTGTTTACTGCCTTCATAGATAGCAGCTGGTTTTAAAATAGCACATTTGCATTTCAGCTAGTTGTTTCAAGTTATTTCAGTGCTTGTTTTAAAGCCCTCTCTTCCCTCACTGCTTAATTTTCTATACTTATATTTAAGGGTCAGTTTCCAATTTTATGAAGAATCCTTGTTTGGCTTCATTTGACCTTTCCCCATTCCTCCTTTCTTCCCGTGAGTATTTCTGGGCATTATGGGTTCAGAAATCAATAGCTAAAAAGTTTTTCCCTCTTGGCAATATTCAAACATCCTTACAGAGATGGAATGAAATCACAGGCAATGTTTATCTACATCAGCATAGGTCCGCTAGCAACAGAACTAGTTCCTGTGTTAACTGAAGGATAAGCAGGTTCTTGTACACTTCCATGAGAAACCATCTCAGCTTTTAGCACTGTTTTCTTAAGTCCTGCTCTACAAGATTCTATGCATGAGCAGTTGAAGCTACTCCCTGCTGTTTTCATTTGATAACTTTTCTGATCCCCAAATCAAAGACCAGTGTTTCCTAAAATGAAGACTGCTTGTGTGACAACACCTACAATTTCAGACTCATCACTGCTAAGCCCAGGTGAATCAGCAGGGATGCAGAGCAGTCTGTTGCCCAAGGAGAAATGATTTGGAGCTAGCAGGCACTTACTGTAAGGGAAGTAACGCACACGCATGGTGATTTCACGGGCTGTCTTCAGGATCTCCACAGCCTGAAAGCAGAAAGTTGATCAATGCCCAAACTGTTTTGGAGGATAGGAAACAGCAGTGCAGTTACACAGTGTCCCCAGCTGAGCTAGTGAAGGAGAAGGTGTATGCACCACTTCTCCTCCTCCTGTTTGGGAGAGCACATGCTGGGGAGCAGAAGTTCTCACCTTGCTGTGCTCGATGTCCTGGAAATCCACATCATTTACGGACAGCACCTGATCTCCTTCCTGCAGCCCAGCTCTGTGTGCATCTGAGTCAGGGATCACCTGCAAAGGGCAGAGCAGATGCAGCAGTGCTGACACTCTATGGTCAGTACTGCAGGTCCGAGAGCTTGCATAGCGTGTCCATGCAGCGTGTTCACACAGGATGGGGGGTCATGTGGAGAACAGGGACTGCAGTGCTCCCTGCAGGCTAGGGAGGGGTAAGAAAATGGTGCAGCACTGCCTGCGTGCTACCTGGAAAGTGGCAGATTACAGCTCTGAGTCTGCAGACTCATCCAAAGGCAGATGACAGCCTCCACGCACACCCAGCTGGCTCAGCAACACCCAAGAGAACAGACAGAACACAGAGAGAGCACAAACACACCTTAGAGATGAAGATCCCCAGCTGTGAGGCCTTTCCTCCCCGGATGTTGAAGCCCAGCTGTGAGACAAACCAGATCAGCAGTGAAACATCACTTCTATGGCAATCCCACCCCCACTGCCCACAGGGTTGTCCTCTTGTGCCTGTCCTTTACCAGCTCCTCTCACAAGACATTGTCATTCCCTATGGCTGTCTCCCTCCTCCACATGCAGCACTCCCATCAGGGCAGCAGTCCCCCTCCCCTGCCAGGCTCAGCACCACAGAATCATAGAATGGCTCGGGTTGGAAGAGACCTCAAGGATCACGAATCTCCGACATCCCTGCCACAAGCAGGGCCACCAACCTCCACATTTCATAGCAGCCCAGGCTGCTCAGGGCCCCATCCAACCTGGCCTTGAACACCTCCAGGGATGGACGGGGCATCCACAGCCTCTCTAGGCAGCTGTTCCAGCATCTCACCAGTTTCTACTGACCATCCAGGCTTCCCCTCTACGTGCTCTCTGGCACTCAGTCAAAGCTTATCAGTCCCTCACAGCTTTGCCAATTTAGGGAAAACAACGTGAATTCAACAGGAAAAAAGGCCACACCGAGGTCAAGAGTGACCCGGTCAGGGCCGCAGCGGGGTCCCACAGCCTCACCTGCGCCCCGGGCGGCTTCTTGAGCACGACGGTGCGGGGCAGGAACTGGGTGAGCTCGTTGTTATAGTCGGGGTGATAAACCCTCTGCAAAACAAAGCGGCGGGCCTAAGGCGCTGCCCCGAGCTGAGTCCTGCCGAGCCGGACCCCCCCTCGGAGCCTTCCCTCACCTCGTGCGGCGGCACCCATGCGGGCGGGCTCTCGTAGGGTGGCAGGAAGACCACCGGGAAATCATCGTAGGGCAGCCGGCCCTCCATTCCGCGCCGCGCCCTTTCGGTCTCTCTCGGCCCCGCCTCTCACGCGACGCGGCGCGCGATGATGACGTAGAGCCCCGTGACTGGCGGAGCGGCGCGCGGTGATAATGTGAGCCCCGTGATTGGCGGAGCGGCGCGCGGCACCGGTTTGAAAGCGGGCGGTTGGGGCGCCGCCATTTGCGATCCGGCGGGGCGGCACTGAGGGCCGCGGGCCGCTCTGCGCTGCCGCGGGGCCTGACTAGAGCTTCGCGGGCTCCTTCCGAGCTCTCAGCCCGCTCTGAGCCGGCCCGGAACGATGCGGGAGGAGGAGAAGGGGATCCCTGTGCGTGTGGCGCTGCGCTGCCGCCCGCTGGTGCCGAAGGAGACGAGCGAGGGCTGCCAGACGTGCCTGAGCTTTGTGCCTGGGGAGCCGCAGGTGATCGTGGGGAGCGACAAGGCCTTCACTTACGACTACATGTTCGACCCGTCGGTTGGGCAGGAGGAGGTCTTCAACACCGCCGTCGCTCCGCTCGTACGGGACATCTTCAAAGGTCGGTCTCCTCCCCTCAGCCGCAGTAACTGCAGTGTTAGTGTAGTCCAGTGTTGGTGTAGGAGGTTATTCCGGGATGCTGAGGAACTGCTCGGTCTGTCAAGGGAAGCGTGCTGTTAAAAGTTAAACTCATAAGGAAGGGATGAGTTGGTTGCTAACTTTCTTTATTGCAGCATACGC